TCAGGTTTAACGGAATCAAGTGATAAAGGAATAATTGCGTCGTTAGACAACTACACCTAAATCAAATACAATTTATAACACTCGACTTCATCCTCTCCTTTGTTCATGATTGGACCGCCGGCCGCAGTGTCTAGGCTTGTTCTTCCTTGAGGTGTGAGACCTCCATAGAAAGTGTGAATGAGTTGATACTTGGGTATCCCATGGTGTGGGCATTGACGTTGAAGCTCTTTGTATCGTTCCCATGCCGCACTTAGAGACTGACCACTCTTTTGGCGAAAACCTTGAATCAAAGACCGAGCCTCGTCGGTCTTCCTATGGTTATAAAACCTCCTCAAGAAAGTCGTAGTCACTTGGTCCCATGTTGTGAGAAAATTAGGGTGCACCTCCTTCTCTAGCCATTCTAGACCTCTCCTAATTAGTGAAAATGGAAACATCTTTAGGAGAATATATTCTTGAGTCACTCCATTGGCCTTTATTGTGTCACAATATTTCTCAAACTCTTTTAAGTGCTCATGAGGACTCTCAAACTTTCCAGCCAAGAATTGTTTCCTCTCAATCAAAGCAATCAAATTAGGCTTGATCTCGAAATTGTTGACTTCAGTAGTAGGAGTTAGGATCCCACTTTGTGCTCTAAAGGCTTCGGGAGCCCCAAGACGACTCAAAGGCGTATTCTCTCCCATTTTAGGAACTTCACTCTCGAACTTATAGGTTGAGAAAGGGTTGATTTCCGGACTCGATGATGAGTTAGGGCTATCTAATTCTTCACTTGAGGGTGAAGAGGGTGGAGTATCTTCTAATTCTCTTACTTCTTTCGCCGGGGTGTGAGAATTTCTACTCCTTGCTCTTGCTTCTCTTCGAAGTAGGGACAAAGACCTCTCTAGCTCTGGATCGATGGGAATCAAAGATCTTGAGCGGGTTCGTCCTCTGTTCATACAACAAAGCTAAGAAGAACGTAAGCACTGACAAGTAACAAAAGTAGCAAACACTAACAAATAAAAGATGAGATAGTCTCAAACAAGCAATGAAATAGCAATGGAAGCCGTCTCCCCGGCAACGGCGCCAATTTGATAAAGGAATAATTGTGTCATTAGACAACTACACCTAAATCAAATACAATTTATAACACTCACTTATCCTAATACAAGTATATGGAAAGAAGAGGGGTCGAACCACAGGGAGAAGAACATAAACACCGCATTCATCACTAGACTTTAAGCTATCTCGGGGCAAAGGATAGGAATGAATAAGAGATTAAACTAAAGATAAAACGAGTTAAAATCAATATAACTAAACACCAAAGGAGATGGGTAGATGTAGATGCCGCTTGATCATGCAATAACATAAAAGCAAATCAATAGTGAACTAAACATGCATGAATATCGATATAAGGTTCAATCTAAGCGCCTTCCGGGGTTAATCGGTTTCTCCTAACATATCCTCTATGTTTCCACACTAGAACCATATATTGGGAGGTTTAATCAAAGAAAAATCGATAGTAATGAACCTTAACTAAGTCAACTTCCGTTTCTTGTTAACAAAGGTTCACCTTTAATCAACTAACAATGTGCACTTGCAAGAAGATCAAACAATATCAAGCATGCAAAGATTTTAATCACAATTAACTTAATCTCAATATTAAAAGCATGAACAATTAGCAAATACACCATCCCCACACCCTTGGCTAAGAGACTACTCACAAATCATGTTGAGAACAATATCAATCATCAAATCAATAAGCATCAACATGATTAATAAGCAAAGAAGGAAAATTAAAGTAAACAAGCAAAATTAAATGCAAAAGTAAAGAGAAAGAGTAAGAGATAGCTCATTAATTGAAGTTGAAGATCTACAAAAGATTAAACAAGCTTCTTCTTCAAAATCCAAGTTCATTTATGAAGAAATCCACATTTTCTCTCTCTACCAAATGAAGACTAATAGTGTTTCTCTCTCCAGATTAAGCTAAAAATTGTGTAGAAAATTAAAACTAAGTAAATCTAATTTCATCAAAACGTTCTAAAATGGGACTTATATAGTCCGTACAGAGCCAGCTGAAATAGAGGAGTGGTCCGACCGAACACTGGGAAGGTTCGGCCGGACTACAGGGTAGGTTTGGTTGAACCATGGGTAGGTTGGGTCGAACCTCCCTGATCCTGGTCTGGTTGATCTTCTGAGGTTCAACCACTCCTGAAAAATTGCCAAATTTCTTCTTGACTCTGCCTCAACGTTCAGCCGGACCACTGAGCAGGTTCGGCCACACCTTCAGGAGGTTCGGTCGAACCTCTTCTGAATCTTGCTTCCTTCAGCTTTCCTTGAGCTTAGCTTCCTCCTCTTGAAAACCCCGATGGTTCCTACAAAGCATAAGCATGGAAATCAAAGTAAAGAGTAGGAAAAAGGGGCAAAATCTAGGAAAGAAGATTCATAAAGGGAAAGGGAACTAAGTGCAAAGAAAAGGATGCAAACAAGCCGCGAATGTGGGAAAATGACCATCAAAATGAACCTTAATCGTGGCATAAATGCCACCCATCATCAAGATAAGCATTATTTGTTAAAACAGGTTCATTGTCTCTGGGCATAAGGGGGCCCTTCATAGTTTGAACCACTCCTTAGAGTTATTTCATAGGCTTGATCCGTAGGCCTGGTCGGTTGTGCTGGCAGAGCTCCCTGTTGACGGGCTTGTAGAGTGGCGGAAAGTTGCGCAATTTGATTATCTACAAATTTATTATGTTATAGGATCGAATCAATTTGGGCATCTCTACTCTCCATGTGCTTCTGCATATTAACCAGCATCGCTCTAATTTCTACCAAAGCAGGGTTGGAAGATGAGGAGGGTTGTTGTGGTTGGTTCTTCTGGCCAGCATTGGGGTGGTAATATTTCTGCTGTTGTTGTTGTGGCGTTTGTGGTTCTTGTGGTGGTGGTGGATTTTGAACATTGGTACTCCGGTAGGAAAGGTATGGATGATTCCGGTACCCAGGATTGTAGGTGTTGGAGTATGGGTTATTCTGCCTATAAGCTTGAAAGGCATTAACTTGCTCCACGGAGCTCCTACAATCTTGCTCCCAATGACCTAAAACTCCACAATTTTCACAGAAAGCCTCATTAGCATTATTATTAATTGCAGAAACATTAGCTACATTAGCAATGCTAAGATTATCTAATTTCTTGCAGATAGAAGTTAATTGAGCTTGCAAAAAGGATACAGAGTCAACATTATGCTTCCCCTTGTTAGCAAAGCCTCTAGGATTCCCATATTGGGAATTATGTATCGCCATATCTTCAATAACCTAACCTGCATCATCAACATTAAGGTTCATAAACCTCCCACTAGCTGTAGAATCCAAGATTATTCTAGATGAATTTCCAATGCCATTGTAAAAGGCTTGGATTAACTGCCATTGTGCCAGATTATGGTGGGGACATTCTCTCTGTAGGTCCTTGAACCTTTCCCAAGCCTCATATAGAGTTTCATCGGCTTCTTGGGCAAAGTTCTGAATTGCACTCCGTAGTACAGATGTTCTCTCTGCAGGATAATATTTGTTATAAAAATTTAAAACAAGAGTTTCCCAGTCAGTTATACCAAGTGCAGTTCTATTTAAACCATTAAACCATAATTTCGCTTTTCCAGTTAAAGAGAAAGGAAAGAGAATCTCCCTGATTTGGTCTTGTGGTGACCCCAGCTTGCCTGATGGTATTACAGTATTGACAATAGTCTGCAATATGAAGATTTGGTTCTTCACCCTTAGCTCCACTAAATTGCTTCCTTTCTATCATCGTTATAAATTGGGGTTTAATCTCAAACTGTACCCCATCGAGAGTTGGAGTGGGAGTAAGGTGTGGAAAATCTGTAAGCTTTGGTTGTGAGTAATGACTAAGCTTCTTTGGAGTCGTCATCTCTGATTCTGGATCTGATGATGCCTCTGAATCGCTAGAATCAGTTGGAGGATCTCGGTGATTATTAGTATCACCAGAATCCGCCAGAATTTTCTTGTAAAAAATCTTCTGTCTATGGAAGGATCGTGTTCAATCTCAGGATTGAATGGGATGTAACCTGATCTGGAACACCTGGGCATAAACAAAGAAAACTAAAAGCAAATATGAGACTTGCCTCAAAGAACTAAGTTCTCTGAGACAAAAAGAAATAACCTAGACTACCGAAATAAAAAAAATCAGAAATAAAAATAAAATCGTTTCCCCGGCAACGGGGCCAATTTTTTACAGGCTAAAGTCGTATCACCTAATCAAAAGTAATTTTTAAAACCACTAACTAATAATAGATAGAGAAGTAGGGTCGAATCCACAGGGAAACTGGTCTTTCTATTCCTAATTAACTAAGTTAATCTAAATTATCAAGTAACCAGTGGGTAAATTTGGATATAAACTAAACTACGAAGATATAGAATAAGGAGAAAACAATATATAAAAGGTCTAGGGCATAGGTTCACCAATAAATAATATTCCAGGGTAAAACATAATAATCAATCATCAATGCATACATTAATCAGATCATAAAGGGATTTCGCTACGTATTACAATCACACAATTAATTTACCGGTATTAAATCTCATCTCTCGAATCTCGACCTAACCATTTATAAATTAACCTGCCTATTGAAACTAGACCTAAACATTAATTCATATCTCTTGAATCTCGAATCAATGTTGTCAAACTCATGCATAAAAGATCTGCGCAAATCTAGTCATAGAACATTAAATTAATCAATAGGAAATTAATCTAGCATTGACAATTAACTACAATAAATTAGCCCTTCATATTATTTATGGATCCCCATAAACCCTAGAAATAGAACTACTCACACATAATTAAATCTAAACAAATCAAAGTAATAAACACGACATGATCAAAGGAATAAAATAAATAACTAAGATTAAGAGAAGAGAAATTGTTACCAAAGAAATCTGGAATTAAGAATAGAGTTAAGAACAAAGTATATGAGAATTTTAGAGAGAGAAAATATTCTAAGTAGAGAGAGAAAATCTAAAAGAGAAGGTAATCCCAATTACGTAAAAAAATCGTACTTAAACATCCCTAAAACAATTCCTAATTGAAAACTAAAAATCTCGACAATCAGGTCTTCCAAAAACACGCGCCCGATCGGGCGAACTTCCTTTGCCCTTCCTGGCTCGCCGCGCCCGATCGAAATTACTCTCACCCGATCAGGCGCGCCTTCTTGCTGATGCTCTCATATGCGCGCCCGCCCGATCGGGCGCAAGCTTGCCCGATCAGACCGGTCTCTTCTTCGAGGCTTGGACTTCGATTGGGCTCAATTCTTCGGCCCAATCCAGATTTCCTCTTCCGGTCTTGAATACTCGATCCATATGCCCTAGTATCACATACCGAGCCCTTAAACACCGGCTCTTAACCAGTCCTGGGCTTCAAAGACGGTCATGTCCTCCTAATGCTCGTAGTTGCTTCATGAAAAACCGGAAAACGCTCCAACTGTGCAATTTCCTACAAAACTCAAGCAAAACTACAAAAACACTAGAAAACACAAATTAGTAATAAAAGTGGCTCTAAAGAGACAAAAACACTACTAATTATGTCCAAGGGACGGGGGTAAAACACTATATAAATTGGACATATCATCAATCAAACACAATACATAAACTACTGCTCCTTATAGCAAAATATATCATGTAGTGACTGACAATGCTCTTCTCATTGAGCTACTAGGCTATTATAGAATAAGAATAATTAGTTAACACAATTGATGGTTTTTATTTTATTTTTTATACTAAAAATCACAAATGTAAATAAAATATACTCAAAAGTAAATAAGAAATGCTTAATTATAGAAATCGCATCTTCTTCCAACTATATTCGGCTATTCGATGCACACCAAATCTACGAGCTACAAGGAGCCCTAACCTTGCTGTTCTTGCTTCTGCATTTTTCAGCCTTGCTGGTGCACTCCAATTCCAACCTGATTAGCAGTAGAGAGATGCGTATCAGTGTTAACTTTCATAACCGCGGCTGCTGGTGCACACCAACTTGCATTCAGGGCAGCCTTATTTGTCACAACAGGCTTGAATAATACTTGCATAGAGTACTCACCATAATAATGCAATAACTTGGTATAATTAAATGCTAGACATACATGACTAGTCACAGGGTCCTGGTAAATACTCTCATCCCTGCAAAACCAAGCAACCCAAGTCAGAACACACATCAAACTTAGTTCTTTTTTCTCCACCTTATGTGCAAGCCACTACAGACACTCAGCAAAGGAGCTTGTAGGCGCATCATTCAACAACTCCACATAACTACTATGCTCCCAAGTCCCAAATCAATTTTGCATCCCGACATTGGAACAAGGCATGAATGAAAGATTCACACGAAGCCCCACATATCTGACAAGTGCAATCCGTTGTGACATGACAATAGTGTAAGCACTAGGTTAGCATTTAGATGGTGTTAGCCAAGAAGAACAAAGTTATCTACTCAAATCAGTTTCAAGATTAAAATAGCAGTGCAAGCAACACATTGAATTTTGGGTTGTCGTGTGTGTGTGTATCGCTATCAGTGTAAGAGGCAACATACGCTAGGCAAAGGTTTGTTGCCTTTGTAGGTTGGAAGTCACCTGCTCCATAGTGAAAAGTGTAGTATGCTACTAAATATTCCATGCACATAATTATATACCAAACTCAGTCACTAACATCAACTCAAAAGTAACTACCACTAACTCAAAAGTTAATAAGACTAACTCAAAATTAAATTAAACTAAATAATAAAATTCCTCCTTGAATTTCATAAAACTAAATAATAAAACTCAGAAGATGTGCAGGAATTTCATAATTGAAAGATTTGAGCCAATGTTGACCTTCTCATCTGAATAGGGCCTTGCTGAGCAACAACCTGTGTGTTGAAGTCGCAAGACAACATGTGTTTCACTCTCTTCCATAGGATTAAAACAGCAAGCTAGATAAGTACTTGCAGGCTTGGCAGGGCCTCCAAGGCAGCAGCTGCAGCCTTGGCAGGGCCTACAGGGAAGCATCAGTAGTTGCAGCCTTGACGTGGCAGCAGCTGCAGCACTCAACCCGATCATTTTTTGGGCTGATTCAACTCTTGAAATTCACTTAAAGATTCAATGAAAACAACTCAAATATCTAACAAAATAATTGAATAAATTGTAAATTATGGGAAACCACAACAACATAGTAGTATTATACAAATTCTTAGGATACAACCAGGGAAATCACAACAACAACATAGTAGTACTATACAATTCAAGCAAAAATTCTAATCAAAACAATTGAATCAACCAATTTAAAATAACTAAATAAATCGTAAATTCAAAAAATTACTTTATACGATGACAGCAGCACTTTAGGATAGCTAAGATCCAACTCCTTCTCCTTTATATCATCATTCGACATGATTCTTCAGCAATCTAATAATCAAAATGTATTCCCTAAAAAAAAAAATCAAAATGTCTATCACTTTCGGTCCCTGGAAAATAGCGAAAGCCCTAATTTCAATAAACTCGAATCAATCAAAACTACAAAACATAAACCCTAATCGAATAAAAAAGAATTAAAAACATAAAATAAACAACTTACTTGTCCAGATTTAGTCACAGTAGCAATAAAGATCGAAAAACAACTTCAAGAATTCACAAAATCACAAAAAGTGTAGTAAATAAAAAGAATTACCTCAAACAATGACGAAAATCAAATAATCATAGGAAAATAGTTGATCAGTGAAGAACAAAATCTTGATTTGAGAGTGCAAAAAAGGAGAGATTTGAGAGTAGAGAGAGAAAGTGAAAGTGAAAGAGAGGAGAGAGAAACAAATGAGCTGCGAAAAGAACATGAGAAAGGTCATTCAAGTGGCGAAATTAACAAAATGCCCTTAATGAAACTGAAAAAGACGGGTGAAACACAAGCCGTCGGATTGAGAGTGATCAACGGTCACGATGAGTTCCTAGTTCCTATTATAGGACTTGATTCTCACATGATCCTCATTATATATATATATATATATATATATATATATATATATATATATATATATATATATATATATATATATATATATATATATATTGGTAGTTTTATAATCAAAATTGTGAGATTTTTGCAGTGTTATTTTCTAAAATTTCAATTTTATACGTGTAACTGTTTTTCCTTCAATATGTAAGCTTTTCATATTTGTATTGGAATACAATCTTATAACAAATTTTAATGTATGCACAATACATATGTAATAAAATAATTGTATTGTAAAAACGTATTTGTATGCTGATCTTGCATATTTATATTTTTTTTACCACAACTTTTATTTAATCTCTTAACATATTCAATAAGTAAATCTACATATAATATATCAATTCTCAAAAACTTAATTGAGTACAAAATCATGTGTCTAAAATATTTCATTATACATACTTACAAACTAAGTTGTGCGCACTCTGTGGTTCAACTAGCGTATTCCAAATAAAATATTTAGTACTCCGTACTTAATCTAACAAAACACACACACAGTCACACACACACACAAAAATAAAGAGAGAGAGAAGAAAAAAGTTCTTTAACCAGGCTTCAAATCCTTGACCTATTCTGAAGTGTACAGAGATTACACCTGTTTTTTGTGCCATTTGACAATTTTAAAATGAATTGCTACAAGTTCAAAAGATCAAATACATTGTTAAGGAAGATAAGGGAGAAGAAAAGAAATTACATTGATGATAAAAACCATAAACATGGTGTTCAAATCATATCACTCAAAGAAGCAAATGTCAGCACATAACCATGTTTGCCAGCATAAGCTGATTTTTTAAAGGCAAAAACTCTTTTAAATTATGGCAAGCATCCAAGAGCACCTGCATTAGCAAGTTTGACATTTCAGCTTCACTTGGGTCGATATCCAAATTGAGTGATCCATCATTGCATGTAACGGTCTTAGCCCAGCTGTAGATACGCACAGTTAATGTCCAGAGGCATGAAACTGCAGCATCAGCAACCCCTCTCCACTTGATACTTGAAAGAAGAGACGAAAGAGTGATTGGTAGGTCAGCTAGCACAGCTTGTGGATCTAGAACGAACAATGGCATGTATTTGCAGAAGCAACCAGAGATCAGACCAAGAAACTGCAGTGCCTGAAGGCCCAACAATGACAAATTAGTCAAACTAGATCAAAGAGACAATGAGCAACCTAGCTAAGAGATTTGCATATACAAAAGCTGGCTACTTTATTTTCAAGTTAAAGCATCTTCCAGTCTTGCAAAAGCTGAATCTGACAATCCGCTAAAATTAGAATGCTCTCTCAGCAACATCAATTAACAATCAAGTCAAAATGATGAAAGTCATCTAAGACCATCTCCAATGGTGAGACTCAAGTTTGAGTATTGAAATACAATATGAGTTGTTTTTTACCTCCAATGGTGATACCATACCCACTTCTCAAAAAAAAGGTTCCAAAAAAAAAAACCAAGAACCCATTATTGCAAGAAAGATCTTGGCATCATAGGACTTAAGATTTGGTTATAATCAAAAATTGATATCCAAGATATTTTCCAAATGCATTAGGCTTCATTAAGTTAATACTTTCTCCGTTTCTTTTAATTGCATCACTTTTGTAATTGTGTAGCCCTAGCCAATTTTGGAGTCGAGAGAGATAGAGAAAAAAAAAATAAGGAAAATACACTTTAACAATCCCATCTATTACCGATTTACTTCTAATATTCCCAACTAAGGTTTATTTCTCAATAATCCTAACTATTGGGTCAGTTTGCCTCCAATAATTTCAAAAACGATAACCTACTGAAAGGGTATTTTTTTTTTTTTTTTGGTTTTTTAAATGACATGTGTCAACACTTGAATGGTTCAAAATTAAGAAATTTAAACATAAAACATAATTTTTTATTTTTGAAAAAATCAAGCCACCCTTTCCCCACCCCCTAACTTCGCCGGAGCCCTATCTACACCCCTAATCAACCCCCGAACCACCGACTGGCGTCCTCCTCTCCTTAATTGATTCTCTCTCCTCCTTAACACACTGTCTCGTTTCCCACCTAATTCTTTAATTGATTCTATCTCTTCTTCAAACTCTCTCTCTCTCTCCCTAACCAAATCACCAAACCCAAGTCATCGGACGAAGGAGAGGCGGTGGACAAAGGATCGGCTGTGGACGAAGGATAAGTGGCAGCCAGTCAGCCACCCACTGAAATAGATTGGGCCACAAGCCAGGAAACAGATCGTTGTCCAAATTAAATCTGGCTACAAATCCTTCACGGCGGCGGCAACGAAAGAGGATAGCTAGCGCAAGTTTCAGCCGAGAGAGGAGTCCTAGCCGATGAAGTTAGGGGGGATCGGGATGCATTGCCAAAAATAACGGCGACGAAGGCTGTCCAATCATTATTTTGGGGTCGGGGTGGGTTAAGTTGGTGGTTTTTTCGGAGGTCGGGGGTGGGTTAAATGGGTGGTAGAGGGGCGGCCGGCGGTTTTGGTGGTTAGAGGGGATGACCGGCCGGTTTTGGTGGAGGGTAGGGTTTGGCACCAGTGGTGGTAAGGTGGTTGATTGGGCTGCTGGGATTTTGGGGTTTTTTTTTTAAAAATTTGGACCAATCACGTGTTGACACGTGTCATGGTCACCTGTTAGGTCATTGACCCGTCGTTGACCAGTTTGGACCATTGGAGGCAAACTGACCCAATAGTAGGATTGTTAAAAAATAAACCTTAATTCTATGTTAATCGGACTCGGCCAATATCGCCGAGTGTGCGTGTCGACATGACACGACACGGATACTAACACAAAATTCGTGTCAGATTCTCCACTTTGCACTCGGACACTTCATCTCAGAGAAGAGAGTGGAGGAGAAGATTCTGATTTTTTTTTAATATAAGAAAATACAAGAAAAAACCATACTAAATCCTACCTTGCCAACCCTCTTGAAATTTGAAATTCTATGCCATGATTTTAGAGAACTATGAGTAGAAATTATAAATGGCGGACATAGCTATGTTTTACAAAGAAAGTGAAAGAAAAAAGGAAGGAGAAGGGAGGAATAGGGGGAAGGTGGGTCACAAGATCTTTTAAAAAACAAAAAAATTATCATATCACGTGAGGGATAGGAGAAATTTTCTCCTTTATTCGTATCTACTTCTTTGGGCCCACTCACACCTCATTCTCCACTTTGTTATTGTTTTATTTAAGGACTTGTTAGTACACTTATTAACATAATTTGTTAGTACATTTATTAACATAATTTTACATACTGTATGATTTATTTGTTAATAAAAATAACGTACCACCGCACCCGTGTCCAAATTTCGGACAGTGTCCTCGTGTCCTAAAATTTTGAAAATTGCCAAATCGGATACTTGGACATGTGTTCGTGTCCAATACCCGTTCCCGAGTCCAAGTAACATAGCCTTAATTGGGTTTATTAGAAGTAAATCGGCAATAGTTGGGATTATTAAAGGGTATTTAGAGGGCCCATGTGATAGGAGAAAGATAGAAGTAATTAATTAACTAAATTGGAAAGTGATGCATCTAAATTGAAACTTCCGCAGAAGTATATGTTTTTGTATAACTCAATTTTCGTTTATGGATGTTAATTTACTTCACTTTATTCCATTTTGACATATATCCTTATCCATCACTTCTCTCACCCCACACCCTACAATACTTGCACCTTTCCTCTCTTACTAAATCTTACACCCATCCACCTTTTTAGACTCTATCAAATGTCCCAGATATTGGGCTCTAACTAATGCCATTTATAATAATTATTACTATGAATCTCTTTACCTTGGTTACTTCTTTAAATGGCCAACTAAAGACATGAGAAAATAAAAAATAAAAAATAAAAAAGTATATGGAATAATATCTAGTGAGCAATTATCAAATAAAAAAATATAAAAATTATTAAGAAAAACTAAGCATAAAACAATATTTTGGAAAGAATATAATACACCAATACTTTCTCTAATACATTTAGGTTCCTATTCCATGAATATTGCATGACAAATAGATGGAATTTGTGATATACACCCGGAAGCATTGTACACCCAACTAACCTTGGGTTAGTTTTTGTTCTTCATTTTGATGATTAATAAAGAATCATCAAAATGTAAACAAAATACTTATGGGGGTACGGTGCACCCGGTTGTACATAACAATCTCTCACGAGCGTGTAGTTTTAGTAAATTATAGTCTTTTATAGATCCACATATATAGTCAACTAAAATGACCGGGAAATGAGATTGATCTAATGTTCACTTTTATTAAACTAAATGTGCAAACATATTTTCTGCTAGGAAACAAAATTATGCACACACACGCACACATGAAATACATATTACCACCCTTTTTGTTTTTAATCACTACGCACTTCTACTTTATTCCAGTTTTTGGCAAACTCTCTTTACTATTTTACTCCTATTTTATGACAATACTTACCCCATTAAAGACCTACCTTTTTCTCAAACCCACCTAACATTTTCCAAATTTTCTTAATCTACGTATTTATAGTGATTTATCTTGACCTGAATGGAAAATACATGCATATTCGGTTAACAATATGTACATAAATAAAATACTTCAACTGTAATTACTACTCCCTCCGTCCCCGATTGATAGTCATTTTTGAAGAAAATCACGGGAATTAAAGAAAGTACATTGAAAAAGTAAATTTACATTAGATATGCAAAAAAATAGGGAGAGAAAGTAATTAAAGTACATGGGAAAGTAAAATTTACATTGAAAAAGTTAAATTTGCACAAATATTTTTGCAAATGTTAGAGAATTTTGGTAAAAAAATATATATTAATGGTACTTGAAAAAAGCAAATGTGACTAACATTTTGGGTGCCTAAAAATGGCATAAGTGACTATCAATTGGGGACGGAGGGAGTATTTCCTTCGTTTTTCTAAATGCATCACTTGCTACTTTTGGGTGTTTTTTTTTTTAAATTCATAACTTTTATATTTGGTAACTTTATATATACCATATATTATTATTCTCTCTCTTCCCTAAAACCCCACTTAAATATCTTATCATTTCTTTCTCTTTCATGGTCTTTACTCTCCACACATGCAATCTCTTTCATTATCCACAATGTACTTTTACAAAAATAAATTAATCATCCAATTGCCCACATGCATAATGATGCAGATTTTTAATGGTTTCCACTAAAATTCCGACCTTAGATGGATTTTAGTTTAGACTTTGCACGGTTTTAGGATAGAGGGACTAAATGTAAAGAATATGGAACAATTAAATCTAAGCAAGATCAATTTGTAACAAGGATATGGAGTTATTATTCCTAACCAAGGTTTAATAACAACTAAAGTTGGTAGCCTTCTCGGCGAAATAAAATATACAATTCTCTTGCGAAAAAACAACTCATACGAATTGATCAAACTATAACTCAAATTCAATTATCTGGTGAAAAGTTTACAACCTAAAACCCTTTATATAGACAATATAAACTCTAGAATATTCTAAAATCAAATAATAAACTAATCTCTAAACTGAATCTATCACAATAAAAGATAAATAACAACTAAATATTCTCTATAATAACCACCCAAAATATTAAGAAAAGATATAATTTAAATGGCGCTTCAACCTATCTTCTAGATATGCATCACATAATATAATATTGAAGCAAATAAACTCTTCTAAAACTCCATGTAAATGCAATGGATGCAATAAAAAAATAAAAACTTGACATACCGTACTTTTACAGCAATAATGTCAGAAAACTAACTGTACAAATAAAAACTTGACATACCGTTGATGGATATTTTGTTATACAGCTTATTTCCAGAACACTAACGACCCATTGTCTCTTGATACTTCCTTCTACATCCTGCAGCACTGCCGTAATTTCAACAAACAACTTCCACATGCCTGTGAATATCCAGAGTTGAGCAATGGTCTTGCAATTCTTTCAAATCAACTCATTCATGAACACAGAAATAAGAATGATCATTTACAAAAAATAAAACCAGATGATTTCCTCTAACCTTGTGATCGGGTGTTTAACATGTAAGACTTTAGCTTTGCAAGCTCAGTCAATGGAAGGGATCCAAGTTTTACAAGCTCAGTTATCGCTAGCATCTTCTTAAGCATTACTCCAAAATAATCATCTCTTGGGACTAGAGTGACAGTAGATATCTGGAGCATGAAAATTCCCAATTAGTGACTGGAAGTAACTTTAAATGAAGGCTGAATTCCACAAGGAAAACACAAAAATATAATAGCATCCAGTAAGAAAATGTACCTGTAATAGATCCAACAACCAAGCTTTTTTAGCCTTGCCCAAGCATACAATTGCTTCATTCCATTCCAGGGTGGGCATCAATTCAAGTTCTGAAAAGGCAGTTGGTTGAGCAGGCAACGATGCAAAAAGAATCTCCATGCACTTCTCCATCCCAAAAAGGTATTCAGAAGTATCAAGAGAATCTTCATCAAAACAATTTGAGAGTCCTTTCCAGCAGGAGAGCAGCAAAAACCTTTTCTGCCTCACATTATAGTTTCGGTATGAAGAAATTTGAGATGACAGGAACTCAGAAATGTCTTCCAGTAACACTTTAGTTCTTGAACTGGAGAATATTCTTGTCAGGTTCAATAGATGAAAGAGAAGACAGGACTGTGTAATGAGATCAAGCGTCCTGAACCTAAACAAACTAGTCAATTCATCAAGGAAAGAAAGTAGCGGATCAATTTTATTCCCATGAGCTAGTGAGAAAAGCACACATTCTTTGCGCAAGCTACTCTTCACAGAAGATGTTTCCTGGGGTAAGAACTCAGAAATATGAGCCACGTATTTCATACAACGCCTGATAACTGCTCCCCAATCAAGCTTGGGCAATCTGGGGACACTAGAAAGACACCTCAGAACAGCAGCAACTGTGTTGACATGTGGGGTATCCTTAAAAAACATGAAAATTTTGTCAGCAAAAGAGGAAAGCAAAGTAACATTTCAAAGCATGTTTGTAATTGCATGCTAGCAACTTCTGATTCAGGATAAAATAATCTTAGTGTATACTGGTCCAACCGTCCAACCAATGAACAATTGGAAGCTGGTAAAAATTGCCAAATTTGTGCAAAATATTCCCAAGCAAATAATGAGCAAATGAGCATCAATGATCCTAATTTCAGTTGTATTGCATAAAACAATCTCAACAACTCTACTTAAAATGGTAACAAAGTCTTCTTCAAAGAATATCAAGTTAATAATTTAACAATTTTATCGCTTGATGAGAAGTATGTTAAACTTTAGAGATACATATCATGGATAAGAATCTAAAATAAAGAAAGAAATGCTTCATTTATATATGTTGCTAAGTTCATTTTTTTTTTGGAATCACACGAAAAATAACTCTAAATACTTTGAATTACTTTTAGCAAAACCTCATAACTCTTAAGCATGGGTGCATAGGCATCAAATATTCCTGTTGGGATTGTTTCAGTTCATACTACAGCTCAAATTATTGAAATCTAAAATCCAATACAACTTAGATATGTGCTAGACACCTGCAACCACGAACACAAACTAAAATGATATGATCAAGGCCTTCCAAACTAGAAAAATATGCAAAAAGCAATATCAAGCGACCTACTCTGGAATAGTCTAATTGCATTAGCCATGTAGAGAGCTGCATAACACTTGCATCCTTGGAAAAGCTTTGATTATTAGGCAACGAGCTTATATTTTCATCCTTGTCTTCTATTGAGCAGAGATGTTGATGAAGAAATGACATTGCCCATGACGCATATGCTTGTAGTTGGCTGTCAGATGAATCTTGCGCAACAAGAAATATATCTTGTATTAATGCTAATAGATCTTCTGCAAAGCAAGAACTTGACAGTAGAGGGGCATTGACGTGAGAGGATTCCTGATATATAAATTGAGAAATAACATATCAGGTATAGAAAATCAAAAGATGAGAATGAAAATCTCAAGTGTTTATTATATCAATCATACCCTTCCCTCAGAGAAAGTGATGGGAGCAATTTCAGGATAACGATGATCAGGTTTACTCCCTGTATTAGCACCCATAGCATTTACCACTCCAAGGAATGCACCAAGATGAACAAGGTGAGGATAGGTATCAGAGTATATTTTTTTAAATACACCAAAACAAAACAAATGAAAGTAGAGACCCTGCACCAACACATGCTGCCATCAGCTGATTGTGATGCAAGATGTTACATGTTTTCTCCATTTGAAGCTTTGAAATGAGGTTTTCATAGCATAAAAGCAAGTCGCTTAATTCATTATCATGCATCTTTTCCAGTCTCCGACAAACTGAAGCAACAGTTGGAAGCACTAGACATGCTCCAGTAGTTAACAGCATATCTAAACTTTGACATCCAGTAGTAGATTCTGTAAGTATGGAGTCTGCTTCGGCAATCCAGGATGTGAGCAAAATTTTTATACTGCACATAGCATCGTATGACCCAGCTCTGGAAAGCGCACTAACAGACATACCGAAACCCATGACAAGACCAGTAACACCCCATTGATCATCCTCGTCTCTTTTAACCGTCATTGGAGATGTTGCCTTCGTGTCATCATCTTCTAAACCAGGGGCCTTATATTTAGAAAGGCTCACAAGAAGATCAGAAGAAATTTTTGTAAGTTGCCATATTGTCAAAGATAGTGTCCTGACAATCTTCCCCAAAAGAGCTTTCTCCTGTAGAACAAAGCTAGCCTGATCCAATGCATTATCAGCAGTTACATCCCTGGTAAGAAGGTCTTGACATGAATATCCCAAGCCAATACCACAAGCCCCTTTGACAAGAATATTTCTACTTTCACATACCACCTAACGAAAGAGACATGAATTAGTCATAGCTAATGAAAGATCAATATCCAGGTTAATAATTTATATCCAATCGAACCATTTTAAGATCAATATATTATATGTAGTGGCACCACGTAAATAATTCAACACAACTGATAACTCCATACAGCATAGCTTTAACACCATAACTGAAATGATTCAAAAGGAAGTGAAGATGAAATAATTTCATGAGGTTACAGGTAAAGAAATATTACATTTCTGATAGATTTAAGATTTAAAGATAGTGTTGTTAAGATGTAAGCTCAGGATCACACAATAAAACACTTCTAAATACATGCAAACTCTAATAAGGCTCTTTTTCATTCAAACACAAAATTAAGTGTCAGCTAAAAAGTTAACTTTCTTATCAATAAGTTCAACAAAAATAAACTCAAATAGGAAATTATTTCACACTTCACATTGAACTCCTTTCTAAAACTTATGTTCTATTTTACATATCACAGACCCCCCAAATAATTCTATATCCCTTAGTGTTCAAATCTCTCCACCTGTCATATAGATCCTTGTTCTCGCAACATTGCATCACCTTTTTGTACTTATGGCACTCATTTAGCCTCTTTTAGGATGAATTTTCATTGTTTTATGTCTCTTTTATCTTTTATTTGTTTGCTTTTCTTTGATTTCAGGAGATTGGTGACGTTACTGACATCTACGGAACCAAATGACCTTCTCTCGGGATTTGCAAAGCTTAAGGTGCAAGCCGGTTCCTCCCCTTGAAGCTCGAAAGTGAAGGAGCCCAAAAGCCAAGTCTTCATGTTGCGTGGGCATCAAAATCGGTGATGAACCCACCGTGAAGACCTTTGGAGATTGTCACCCCCAACATGCATCAAGTGGAGCGCACGGGAGCATCAACGGACGCACGAGGAGGAGGTGCCCTGCTCCTAGGCGCGGGCGTGCAAGGCCACGGCGCGGCCGCGCAGGTGGGAGGTGCGGCCGCGCAGCCTTCCTCCCCCTGTTCTGTACCCATTTCATTGCGGTCGTGCATGTAGAGGAGAGGGCGCGCCTATTGGGGTTCTTTTTGGACGTATAACTAACTCCTCCTTTGTTAGTTTTACTATATATAGTATTTCTTCATTTTTAGAGAGAGAATTAGCTTAGAATTGAATTAGAATAAGACTTTTGATTGGAATTTTAGAGAGAGAAGCTCAAATTGGGAAAACTTTTGTTCTTAGATTTAAGAGAGAGAAACTTGGTGAATTTGATGAATGCTACTTTCAATCTTCTTCCTCTTTGATTTTGATCAAAGTTTTGTAAGAATTATTTAGTCTAATGCAATTTTAGCTTTTGATTCTTTAATTTGATTGAATTACTTGTTGTTTGTTTGATTTGATCTTTGATAGCTTGAATATATTTTGAATACAATGTTGATGATGAAATTGGTGATTAGTTTAGTTTTGCTATTCAAATTTGCAATGTGTAGTGAGTAGATTACTTGTTAGGGATATGGTGAAGCATGTATGAGTGTAATTCATGGCTAATTGGGGGATTTTGATTGATGAACATTGTGATTAAATTGATTGGTGAAATTTATGCATGTGTTTGATATCTTGAGGAGTGATCAACCTTAACTATCAAGCTAGATTGCATAATAGTTTTCATTGATACGAAAATTTGATTTGGAAGCTATTATTATCTATTGATCTTGTTTTGCGATTTTCCTTTGAAGTCATTTGTAGAGACATCTAGCTCTGTAAGTGATTTTGATTGCATTTGTTACCTTCCCTCACATTGTTCGATTGGTTGAATTCTTGCCCAATTAGTATGATTGTCATGAGTGCATGTGGATCCTAATTCCCTACCATATTTAGTATCGTTCTTAAATTCATTTAATAGCGTTGTTTAGTTTGCTTAGACCAACCCTCACTTAGGCTTCAGAATAGCTTAACTTGAGACTTTAGCTTATACCGCATTCCCTTGGGTTCGACCTAGACTTACCCCTATACTAAGCGTTGGGTTAGCTTATATATTATTTAGTAACATTTTGTAATCTCCATAGCATTTACAAATGGGAATTAGCAAGTGACAAATAGATTAATGATAACAAAGGGAGAAACTAAGTTGGATGATAACAGAACAAAGACTTATGTATATTTCAACGATTTTGTAATATGAACATTAATTAATACCATATTCCTTAAGAAAAAATATATATATATTTTACTACTATAATTATTATCAATTACAAACCTAAGCGTATCCATCAAACCCTAGCCCCCAGCAATCCTTCCCACAAGCTTAACTACACTTCCTAATCGGCCAGAAAAACTATCGGCTTCAAATACGCGTTAGAATCCCCTACATCAACCAGATCTGAAAGCATAAACATCGCTGCCTTGAAAACCTTGCACCCCCAAGAGGAATTTATCATGCTTTTAATTCCTCCTCTTTTTCAGTTTGACTTCAAACCTTGAAAACCAGATAAAAGGTCTAGATGAAAGTCTTTTAATTCCTCCTCTCTTTTTTAGTTTTTTTTTTTTTTTAAGTGCAGCATGTCCCCTTAACCGCACATTAAGGAAGAGATTAGAGAAGGTAGATGAACAAATTAATTAAAAGAACTTAAACACCAGTAAGAGGAATTTTAATTGATGAGACAAGTTGCACTGTACACGGAGGATACATAAGGCATGATTCTAAAAAAAAAAAAAAAAAACCGCTTAACCATGCAGTTTTATTATTTGCATAGTATGAACAGATCAAAGAATGAAATGCACTAAGCCTCAGAAACGTCAACACATAAGCCCATTATTAAAAAATGGGGTTGAAATGAGGGGGTGAAATAAAAGTAATGTGACAAATATACCTCAATAAGCCCATTCACACATTGGAGTTTTTGTTGACGATCAGTTGAATGCAGACAAGTTGAAATCACACCAATAGAAATTGCAGCTGACCACTGGCAATGCTCATGTTCATATTGGAAAAGCCAGTCCAAAAGAAACTTTGAAGCCAGGACTTTAACATGATGAACAGACGCGGGCAAAATCTTAAAAAATCGCAAAAGTTAAGATGGAACACCTCAGGGTAACTAACATACTATACCAATCAATATCATGTTCTTAATAATGAAAAGAAGCATAATTCCAAAATAACAGAAAATAAATCATGTTCTAGTAATCTAGACCATATACAGAACGAGTAACATAAAAATTGCATGTTTAATTGAAGACATCAGAAAGATTGGAAAGTTTTTATATGTAAAAGTAATAATTTTATTACTTCAACATTAAATATTTTTCTTTGGGCTTAAAAATTATAAATGATGATCATAAAGTAATTTTTAAAATTACACAATAATTATCGCTTGGTCCCATTTACTTGGGGACAAGCTTTTATATGCACGCAATGTATGCGTCAAACATTAGTTAAAAATAGCTTACATCATTAGTTATAACAATAACCTGAAATTTAATGAGTTAAAAATAAAGATGGTCCACTATGTTGAAAACAATAAATTGAAGCAATAGATAAAAGTGAACCAACCAGTTGTACGACAATTATTACTACCTCCGTTTTTTTTTAAGTTGACATCTTTCATTAATCATGCTTGCCAATGTACTTTAACGATTAATATCTCTAATACCCGACATTGTAAAGCTATAAAATAGTGGATAGTAATAAAATATACATTGAGACGATTCAAACAAGATCCCACTTAACTATTTTACTAATACTAATATTTTAAAACATGAAGTTGGAAGGACATTTGTCCTCTCCATGTTTTTCCTGTTTTAAAAATAATATTTTTATTTGACAAAAATTCAATCAGACATCTCTTCCATTTTATTTTCTTTTCGAAGTATCTCTTGGTTCTTGTAATTTTCAATACAAGAAATACGTTGAAAATTAGTTTACTTTTCCCCCTCACCTTTCTTCTCTTTGTTTCTTCCATCTTTATATTGTTCCTTTTTTACACCCTCAATTTATAATTTTTATTGCAATTTATTTCAACCAGATTAAATATTCAATGACATGAAATTCAAGACAAAATTGGTGGTCTTGCATTCAAAAAAGCACACAAGTTAATTTTCTGAATTTTGTTTACAATTTATTTTTAACTTTCATTTTTCAAATTTGTTTCGAAATTATTTTTTGACTTAAAATTTTGATGATTTTATGTTTAATTATTTCTTAAATAAATTCTCCTTTTTTTTCATTATGTTTTTTTCAATAGATATGTATAATTTGTGTTTGGAAACAAAAGGTCTGCATAATTTTTTTTTCAATAAATTCTCCTTTTTTTTTCACTATGTTTATAATTTTTTTTTTTTGAAACAGAAGGATTATATAATTTTTTTTCTTTTTCGTTACTAAAATTTGCTATAAATTAACACCATGGTTTTTATTTAAATTTTTATATTTTTTCCAATTTATTTACAAAATACCTTATTTTATTTGATGATTTTTGTGCTTAGTTATATTCTAAGCGAGTTGTTGTTTAGACTTTTTTGTGGATCTTTTTAAAAATATGTACAATTTTTAATTTTATTTTTTTTAAAAGTTTAACAAGTAAGATTTGTAGTTTTAGATTTTTTTTTTCCGTTTTATGTTTCCGTTTTAATTTAAGAATGGTTTTAATATTAAATTTGATTTTGAAATTTTTTTTTTACAAAATTGTTTTTGAAAATTCGTTTATTTTTTCTATGATTTAAAAAAATATGCTTTAGAATCTCATCTAGCTATTTTCAAAGATATTTTATTACATTGTTTATTTCATTTTTATTTTCTATATTTACATATTTGCCATTTTTTTATTTGTTTTCAAATCACAATTTCTTCTATAATTTTGTTTTATTTTTTCAAAAACATGGTTAATATTGTAATTTTTATATGGTTTTCCTTAAAATAAATTTTGATTGTTTATTTTTACCTTGGATGTGGACTACATACAAAGATTAAAAAAAATCTAACAAAACTTTGTTGTTTTTTTTCTTTTTAGAAGTTTTTTTAATACATAGAATTGTTACGGTTATAATTTGAATTAGGTCCACAAACTATTTTTTGGATTAGATAAATTTTTAATTTATATTTTAATATAGTTTTTGTATTAGTTTATGGTTTTTAAAAATGTTATCATGTTTGTTTGGTTTAAAAGCTCATAACTTTGATGTTTGACTCTGCTTAATTTTTTTCGATTTTTTAATAATTTTCTTTTATTTTTCTTAGTTTGGTTTTTTATAAAAACTATCTTTTTCTAAATTTTTATATTCTACTCTACAAGCAGATATTTGTATTTGATATAAATATTTTTTTAAATATTGTTGTTTTTTTTAAGGAAATATTTTTCATAAATATAATCTTCATTAAAAAAATTTTCCTTTTTTTTATTTTTAAAGGCAAACATAACTTGAGCAATCCTCCCATAAAAAAATAAATAAATAAAATACAAACAAATTTAACCTCTGTAGTGCACGGGCTGAATACTAGCCTAATAGTTGTAAATAATAAAGCTAGTCAAAGTGTTGTTTGTGAATAGTGTAAAAGTCAAATAGTGTTAACTGAATAAAAATAAATAAATAAATCAAATATTGAATAAAAATGAAGGAAGTATCAAATAAAATTAAATTAAATTATTACGGAGTATACATTAATATAAAAATAGTAAGTAGCTAATCAATCACATTAATGTCCAATTCTTTGTGAATAATATTTGGAACATGATCATATATACAAGATGAACAACGAGAAAATGAAGAATTGTCTTTTTTAGTGACTATGATAAATGAAAAAGTAATTGGAATCAAACAATTCACAATTGCTACTTATTTTTAGCTCTTTCATTGAAACGTGAATGATGTGAATTAAGGATTGATTTCATGCTATTCCCAAAAGCTTATTTATAAATATGATTAAACCATAATGAAACCATGAAGGTAAAATAATTTATTTAATTTGTCTCATAATTATGTTTTAATTACTTTAAGACAATCATTAATAAACCAAATATATTCTAACAAAAAAAAAAAATAGCATTGTTTCCCAAAACATGTTCAATTAGCTTTTAGTATCAATTGTTTTCCTTATTATTTTAGGCATTCAATTGGATAGAATATTTATAAATTATATTTTTTTCTTTACTACCGTTGTTTTGTTTAATGTTAACTGTTTTGAAAAAATTTGTTATTTCATTAATCATTTTAAAAGTTCTTTTTTCAGAAGATTATAGGAATAAGCATTTTGAACACTTTAAGAGGACACTATTTGTAAATGAGTAAAACAAAAAAAGACGTTTCAAGAGGACACTATTGTTTTTAAAATAATTTAATAAGGGTTTGTTTGACATAGTTTTTTGTTTATTTGTTTTATGAAAAAACAAATACAAGAAACAAGAAAAAAGTGTTTTGAAAAACTATCATGATTTAAATAAATTTGACTAACTTTTAATTGATTAAATCATATGATTTTGAAAAACGGATAACTAAAGCGATACCAAACGAACGCTAAGCTTGTGCCATTAAAATTTAATAGTGACATTGAAATAACTAAGTTTAGCATACATTTTTCACAGAAAAGTTATAGTTATCATTGAAAACTAAAAGATAAAACATGTTAACAACCAAAAAATACATATAAATAGCATTATGAATTATATAACTAATAAATAAAGTTGAGTGACACAGCTAAACCACACGACACGACAATTGACATTTTGCCAAAATGTTGGGCGCGCCATACAGGCCACAACTATGTATAAACATGTCACGATAGATTTTAGGTAAGAGATATCGAATAAATTATTTAGCATAGAAAATTATTTTAGAGTTTTAATTTCAATGAACATTGAACATTTAGCCTTTCACATACATAAAATAATTTTAAATTTTCACTACACATCTTATATAATTGTAATTTTTGCATCATAAAATTCATTTTGAAATATTATTACAATAGGATTCATTTATGATACGGCTTAACCATTTATGAGTACTTTATTTCTATTTAACAAAGACGAAAAAAAAAAAGTTATAATTTTCTTTTTTTTTCCTAAGTTACAAAGATATTTATTTCTTAACTACGTACAAACCTAAATTTATATTGATTTTTGAATCCTAAACATAGTAAGATAATTATACTTGTAAGTTTGATATAAATATATTTAACTTTTTGATAGTTACTTCATACTATTTCTATTCCCTAATAAAGCTAAAAAAAAAAAAAAAAAGTTTGTATAAATCAATGATATCGTACCTAATATCCTACATTATTATAAGTATTATATGCCCTTTATAAAGTATTTCGTATGTGATAAGATCTGAAATTTAAGCCAAAAAGTATATATCCTAAAATTTTAACAACACTGGACATCATTGGGACAAAACTAGTAGTATACATATAAATACATCACAAAATAAGCATCCGACTAATTCTACTTACATTTCATATTACGTAAGAGATTTAAAGTTTTCCAATAAATTAAATTAGAAAAAGACAACCAAGATAATAAAATATACATTAAAAAAAACCTTAACTGTTTTTTTTTATATAAAATAACAAATACAACCTTACAAAAGTCAACAAAGATGATAACTGAAGTGGAATTTTAAAATATAATAAACTAAATAAAACCAGTGCGATCAGTTTTTTATAAAATATTTACTATAATTTTAGGGTTAGTCTTGTATGTGGCTAGCCACACGATTTGGCCACATTGGTTTATCAGAGTAATTTTCATTTATATGTATGAGTAACCTCATTTAATCATAAGAGTAATCCCATTTTGTCCATATAAGTAACCTAAATTCATTATAAGAGTAAAATCAAATATTTAGAAATAAATAACCCTATTTGTTTATTCGAGTAACCTCTATTCTTTTGTTTTAAAAAATAATTCCACTTATTTAAGAGAATAACCCCTTTTTCTGATATAAGTAACCTACATACGTTAAGATAACCCTATTTGCTTATCACAATGACCCCTATTACTTAATTTATTGCCTTGTATGAGATTATGTGAAGTACCACCATGTGGCTAGCCACATATAAGAATTTGTGATAACTTTATCATTTCTAACTTAAAACATTAATTTTGCAATAAATTTCTATTAGAAAAAATAATTTTTATGATGTAAGTAATTAAAGAATTACCTTTTTCCCATTCGTCGGATATTTAAATAAAAGTTTTAATATCAAAAGATAATTTTTGTTTTAATATTAAATCACTATCTTTCAATTAAAATTAAATTTTTAAATCTGATTCGTCACATTTGCTTATGATTTTAAATTTTAAACAATTATGCGTTAGTCCCTAAATTCATTGGTCAAAATAATACCTTTTTCTTATGTGGCGATGTGAATTGCCTCCTTCATTTATATGTATTAGATTACATATTGAATTTAAAATGATTTTAAATGGATTAATCTGAAGTGATTGCAATGATTCTTAGCATTAAAGATATGTGAACGGTTATTAGAAAACAGATATAAAGTTATTTTGGGTCACCCATTTTAGGGATGTACTTAGAATAATGTGTGATGGAGGAAATAGTTTTCAAGGTTATTGTTTAAAACGAGCTTTCAGCAAATTCATCTCCCTACTATGGTATGCATCTGAATTATAATGAATTCATCTATCCAAACTACGTTCTCACACAAATGACCAGTAAGCTCAGAAGAGAGCATTTGTGTGGGAAAGTGGTTTAGATAAATGAAGTCATTTTAATTCAAAGAACACCATCCAAACCATACAAAGGTCTACATGACAATCAAAAGACCCAAAATATTGATATTAGGGAAATAATGTCATTTGAATTAAATAATTAGCTTTCAAAAAAGGCCTAGGCCAACACCTGCATGTAGCAAAACCAGGAGAATTCGCTTGGAAACCCAGATATTTTGATAGATAAACTAACAAAAATTAATGACATCTTCTGTAAAAACTGAAAAAAATAGGTGGGTCTGATACTTTGAGGTGATAATTAGCCCTTTGTGTATGTCTATAACTTGGCAAAAACACCACCCGTTCACAAAAGAAGATTAACAGATCTGGCTAAACTCAATTTCATTAAAGTGGGATAACTTACCATACAAAATGCACCTATGGCAAGGGCAATGTTCTCAGCCACCCTAGGCATTGAATCTTCAGCGACCTTTATCATGCACTGAAAATTCAAGGAAGACCATCCACCCCGTAAGCAATTTAGAAAACTGTTATCGATTTCTCTTAGTCTCTTTTCCTTTCTCTCTTTGTTTTTTTTTTTGTTCTTTGGGTGGGGGTGGAGGGGTGTTTGATGAAGGTATTTTAAAATAACCGTAAATTAAAAACAAAAGCAACACCTTTAAAATAATATTGGCAGCCTCTGATATTTTATCCAATGGACTGGTTGATGCTTTAACAACAAGTACTGATGTATATTTGTGCAGCCAATTTTGCATAAAGGATTTCCATGATTGCAATGAAAGTAGAGCAATCAATATATTTCTTGACAGATAAAGAGATGCAGAAACTTGCTTTAGCATGTTGTGATATTTAGCAAATACATCATCTGCAATCTGGAAAGATAAAGTAAAAAGATTTAGACATACTCCATAAGAACATAAGAATATTCCAACAGACATCATGACAACACAATATATAAGCTTAATGAGCTTACTTCCGATTTCCCGTGGTTAGCATCTTTTTGATTGAACTGAAGTTGAAACACAGCAGTACCAGGTATCATTCCTGCAGCATAACGTTTTTCTGGGACAGCAATGTATGACACAAAATATTCAAATCAAGGAAAGGAAAGGTATGGAATTGAGATCCAGATGAATTACTTTTACTATATAACTCTAGCAAATTGCAGCAGACGTTTATTATAAAATCAAATTTTATATTACATTGACATTGTTGAGCAATGTGCTCATCCGAGTCTTCTGTGATAAATAGTACAACAGTCAGAATAACACTATACTTTGCTGATATCAGGTGGATGAAACAGAAGATCAAAGGTCAGCATGTCTTTAAACAAAAAATCCCTACAAAATATAGAGCTTACAAAGCTTTCCATTCTCATATTAGCATACAGCATAAATTTCACGAAAGCCACAAGATCCTTGATTCAATATGCAGACAATAAACTTATTTTCTAAACCAATATTTTAATTATAATATCATATGACTCCACTTCAAATTCAGCAGAAACTTCCTCTTTTTTTTTCCCATCAGCTCTTTCCCCTTTTATTGGATTTGTAACCATGCACCTTTAATATCCAACAAGGAACTACAAGTTTTACCCTATAGTTTTTCTAGTCTTGCATTAGTCATGCTCAGATAAATTTGCAGTATGTTTAATCAATAAATGCCATCTGTCTACCCAGGTCATCTCTCGCAGGGTATATATATCATGGTGGAGTATATATGGAACAAATTTAGATCCACCAGTCACCACTAACAAATATTATAGTAAAACCAGAACATATCTCAACATAATTTGAGTGGCCATCATTGAAAGTAACAACTTTCTCATGCAAAATCAAGTTTGGAAATACATGAGAAAATTTCTGCAGTATGGCAGGGAATAAAGAACAGGGGGAACAATAGATTCCAAAAACACTAGTTAGTTTGATTAGATATAGGATTTAGTAATTAAAAAAAAATAAAATAAAATAAAAAAAACGTTATCCTTTATTCATTTCAAACAAATTACATTGACAAATTTCATTTAATCTTCATATTTTAAATGAACAGACTCACTGCCTAGCATCCATGCAGGTTACCTGAAGAGCAAATAACACGAGGAAATACTTCTAAAAGCTTCTCAATTTTGCTTCTTGGAGCCCTACTTTTCTTAACAAACCTTTGCCTAGTACTTTTGCAAATTAAAAAGAGATTATTAGTAATAGTAGTAGTATAATAATAACAATAACAATAACAATAACAATAACAATAACAATAATAGTAACAGTAACAGTAACAGTAATAGTAACAGTAATAGTAGAGTGGTAGTAGTGGTAGTAGTGGTGGTAGTAGTGGTAGTGGTGGTGGTGGTGGTGGTGGTGGTGGTGGTGGTGGTAGTGGTGGCCACGAGCTCGTCACGGCACCACTCTCTCACATTACCCTGCCTCCCTGCTCAGTGCTCACCTCCCTGCCGCTTCCCCTTTTTGATGCGTACTCCACCAACCCCCATTATCACGAGCTCGTCACGGCACCACTCTCTCACATTACCCTGCCTCCCTGCTCAGTGCTCACCTCCCTGCCGCTTCCCCTTTTTGATGCGTACTCCACCAACCCCCATTATCATTTCAATTAATGGAACATTCAAGCAAGGTAGATGACAGCTTTTGCCCAAAATTCTAACACACAAAACCCAAAATTATTCAATTACAAACTTAAATTAAACAATAAAAACCTCACTTTTTTCAAATACCCAAAAAAAATTTCACATCTACCCTATTTCACAATCAACAAAAATAAATCAAATGTTGTGGTAATAAATTAACCATGAACAACAATAATTATCAAGTTAAGGGCAAGATGCGGGTGGTCGTTCAGGTGGTGGGCTTGGTTTAGACCGCCGGGGTGGGGCTGGGGCGAGGACGGTGGTCGCTGTTCAGGCAAGGGCGGCTCAAGGGTTGGGGAAGAAGAGAGAGAATTAGGGTGTTTTGTGGGGGTAAGGTTGGGAGTTCGAGGTGAGATCTGGTGGGTGTAATGGTAGTATGGAGGTTTGGTGGTGGTGGTCATGGGGATTTTCCATTGAAGGAGTGGGGGAGGTGGGAGGTTTGAAGGAGAGATTTAAAAATAAAAAGAATAAAAAAATACCTGGTTGTTTCAGCGGTGGCGGGCCGCTTCAGTCCAGGGATGAAGGGGGTGGTCGGGCTGGGAGCTGAGATTTTTTTTGTTTATTTTTAATTGCTTTGTATTTTTTAAATTATTTAAAGATAGGACCAATTAGAAGGTGACAAGTGTCAAGTCACCTTCTAAAACAGGTTACTAAATTTATAAACAGGTAAAAGGCTCATTTTGAGAAGATAGGGTATAAAGGTGGGATTATTTCTGGAATACGCAAAGGTGGGATTATTTTGAGCAGATGGGCAAAAGGTGGAATTATTCTTTTCAATTTTTCCTAATAATAATAGTAATAGTAATAATAGTAATAATAATAGTAATAGTAATAGTAGTAGTAATAGTAGTAGTAATAATAATAATAATAGTAGTAGTAGTAATAATAATAATAATAATAATAATAATAATAATAATAGTAATAACAATAGTAATAATAATAATAATAATAATAATAGTAATAATAATAGTAATAATAATAACAATAACAATAACAATAACAATAACAATAACAATAACAATAACTATAACAATAACAATAATAATAACAATAACAATAACAATAACAATAACAATAACATTAACAATAACAATAATATTAATAATAATAATAATAATAATAGTGTAAGCCAATATAATAAAATTAAAGTTTATTAACAAACCTATGCTCATATGCTATAATCTTGGTTTCAAGTTCTTCGATCGCTTGGAGAACATGAATATCAGTCTCATGAATCAACAGCTCCATTGCCTTATCTCTGAAATCAGGTATGCTCCTTTCAAAATGCATTACCTGCTTAAACAATGAATCAGCAATAAATCAAGTAGCACAAGAATATACCTCAACAAATAAGTAGAAAAAAGCTCATGATTAAAAGTGAATAAGGACACCATAAAAAAGATACACCAACCTCAAAACAACTTAAAGCCTTGATAGCAGTTGCCCGAGCCTTTATCCAAAGGGGATTCACATTATAGCAATTAGAGCTTCCAATGTCCCATAGAATTTGCAAGATGATAACTGAGGCTTCCGCATAAGCTTCAGCATCCATAGCACCCCATCTCAAGAATGAACATAAGCTGCACAAAAGAATAAGTAGTAAAATGATCATACGACATGAGTCAGTGATGTGGAAGCAAAGAGTTTAGTTGACATAGAGGAAGAGGAAATGTCGTGCGTTATGACACGTGGGCGTGCTAGGATTTTGGGTGATCAACTCCCAGATTTGACCGTCATCAAACTTCAGTACTTACTTGGTCAAAATGGACAACTCGGCTTTTTTTCATTACAAAGAATTTTCGGGTGATTCGGTTGGAGATGAAAGTAGAGTCCAAGAGCTTTCCAACAATCAGTCATAAGCCTGATTTGAGCGAGAAATGAAGAAGTTATGCGCATTTGATGTTAACCTATCCTGGCCAAAAATTCGCCCAAACCTCTCTATATGGTTCACCCAAACCTTTTTTTTTGAAGGTTTTCCCTAACCTATACAAGGGTCGCCCAAACATTTTGTCAGCGAGTTTGAAAAGTTAAGCTTCACGGTGATTCACCCTTACCTACCCATGGTTCGCCGAACTTTTGGAAATGTTTGCCTGAACCTACCCACGGCACGGCCGAACTTTTAAGCAATTCCGAGTTACTTTATCCTTCATATTTTTCTTGTTTGGACAATTTAATTTATTTTAAACTGATATTAGTAAATTTTATTTCACTCTATATATAAAGAGAATAAAATTCCTTAATATTCTTGCCTCTTTTAAACTTTGGATGAGAATTTTCTCTCTCTCTCCTTAAATCATGGTGATTATATGCAAATCTATGTGATTTCTCCCTAACCTATGCTTTACTTTGTGAAAGGCTTGGATTAAACCCTTATTGCATTAAACTCGGTGATTAATGTAATAAGAATTTATCTTTGTTATTTGTTCTCTCTCAAATTGCATTTTAAACATTGAAGCTTGGATTAAAAGTTAATTTTTTTGGTTATTAGTCACTTCTCTCAGTTCATAAACCTTAAGATAAAGTCATATAAGATTTTTCAGAATATAAGTTACAAAGATCAAGAACTCAAGATACAGCTAAATGGACTCTTGCCTTACAATAAATTTACAGCCTATCACTTTGTTTCTATCTCTTCTAACTTTATGACATAACACTCTTGCCTTATACAAGTTGTTTCAAATAGCTTATCATTAACACATTTGCATTATGACATATTGTTTCAAATAACTGGTAAAAACAACTTTGATAAGATTGAGAAATAAAATTGACAAGTGATTATATGATGTTCTAGTCTATGTTACTCGGATTCAAAGACCAAAATTCAAAGTCAGTTTTTATATTTAAAGTTTCCAGCTTTTTAGTCAAAACACCAAATGATTCGTCAAAGTGTCCATACCTGGAAGTATGACCTTCGAACAATGTGCATTACTCTAAAGGATAGTTTATAGGATCTGATACAAAGAAGGATTTGTTGGTTAAATTAGGATTTGATACATTTAGGAGGAGGTTACAGTAGTCCCAGCCAGTGTAAAACTTTGTCACATCGCTTAACATGAGCCACAATGATTGAGAGTAATACTAGAATAGGTGACTGTAATAGACTAACTTACTGCAATTATAATTTAAGACAATTTGCAAGAACCAAGGCTTAAACTTGAGTATTTGATTCACTGATGATTGAATTACAAGGGATAGGCACAACTTGAGGTTATGAATCTCACAGTAGCTGAGGCCACAAGTCTCTCATGTGTTTTCACTAATTTCTGGATCGTCTCTACTGCCCCCTAACTACAATACATATACTCAAGACTTAACTAGAACATGTGACATTAATTAACTAAAATAGAAACCCACAAAGGTTATGATTAAAGGAGGCTGCCTTCTTTCCTCAACTTCCCCTTAATTGGCCTTGTCCTGTTGTTCATTGTTCCTTCTCACAATTGACCCTTGCTGCTGCCCCTGTTTTGCGCGCCTGGAGTACACCAAAAGTGGTGGTTGAATTGGTCCGATAGCTTTGTTGACCTTATTGACCCGTTCCATAACATCACTCCCCCCTGTGAGCTTCACCTTGTCCTCAAGGTGGAAGGAGGGAAAGCGCTCATTGACTGCATCGAACTCTTCCCAAGTAGCATCATGCGCTGGCAAACCCTTCCAAGTGAGCAGCACTTCAAGCACGAAAACAGGTCCTTTCTTAATGGTGCGCACCTCAAGCAATTCTTCTGGTTCCACCAACAATTCCAAGTCGGGGGAGAGTTGGGGTGGAATCGTGGGCGGGCAGGTAGAGTCCCCTAATGCTCGCTTGAGTTGTGAGATGTGAAACACGGGATGGATCTTGCAATGTGGTGGTAGTTGTAGTTTATAAGCTACTCTGCCAATGCGCTCCAAAATTTCAAAAGGCCCATAGAATCTGGCAGACAACTTCTCAAATGGTCTCTTCGCAAGTGATTTCTATCGATAAGGTTGCAATTTAAGGAACACTCTTTCCCCAATCGAAAATTCCTCATCCTTCCTTTGTTTGTCCGCGTAACCCTTCATTACTTGCTGGGCTCGGTTCAAATTCAATCGCAGCTCGTCCAATATCGCATCCCTCTCCATTAACATTTCTTCAAGACTGCTAACCATGGTTTGACCAGCCCTTAAACGCCACAGCTTGGGTGGATCTCTCCCGTAAACCACTCGAAAAGGTGTCATCTTAGTAGAGGTGTGGGGTGAGGTGTTATAAGAATACTCCGCCCACGGGAGCCATCGAGCCCAACTCTTTGGTTTTTCCGCAATGAAACATCGCAAATACATCTCCAGTTCACGATCTCCGTTTGACCATCGGTTTGAGGATGGTAGGACGTGCTTCTTCGGAGATGCATTCCTTGCAATCGAAACAACTCCTTCCAGAATATACTCATGAAGACTCGATCTCGATCCGACACAATGGATGCCGGAAATCCATGAAGTCGGACAACTTCTTTGACAAAGAAATCTGCTACTTTGAGGGCGTTAAAGGGGTGTTTGAGACCAATGAAATGGGCGTACTTCGACAAGCGATCCACCACTACTAACACCGCGTCGCTTCCTCGGGATAAGGGAAGACCCTCCACGAAGTCCATTGAAATTTCCTCCCAAACGGCCTCGGGAATAGGGAGCGGTTGGAGCAATCCTAACGGGCGCTTAGTGATAGTCTTGCTTCGTTGACAAACATCGCATTCCCGAACAAATTTAGCCACATCTTTTCTCATCCCGGCCCAAAACCAATCGGCGGTGAGCCGGAGATAGGTCTTGAGCTCACTGTCATGGCCACCAATGGGGGTACTGTGATACTCCTGCAAAAGTAAAGCAATATATTTTGAATGGTTAGGCAATACAATACGATCTTTATAAAAGAGTTTATCCCCTTCAATGTGAAACCCTTTAGGCCCTTCTTTCCCTTGTTTCAAGCCCAACATAATCTGGCCCAATCCTTTATCATTCTCCAACTCCTTCTCAAGATCAGTCCAGTCCACATAACAAGAGTGAACTAAAGACCCAAACTCAACCACTTCATCTTCTTTCTTCGTCCCCTTCACTGGTTTGATAACCAGAGCTTCATCCTTGCGTGACAACGCATGGCGGTGCCCGGTTTATACTGAATGGTGAAATCGAACCCCACGAGTTTTCGAAGCCACCTCTGGTATTCACTACTCACTTCTCGCTGCTGAGTTAAGTACTTGAGGCTCTGCTGATCCGTGCGCACAACGAATGATCGACCCAATAGATAATGGCGCCACTTCGCCACCGCCAATGAGATAGCCATTAACTCCTTCTCATAAATCGATTTGGCCCGAGCTCGCACCCCCAAGAGTTTACTAAAGAAAGCAATTGGGCGATCTCGCTGCATCATTACTGCCCCCAATCCGTATCCGGAGGCGTCTGTTTCCACCACGAAACCTTCGCGAAAATCAGGAACAGCCAGGACCGGGGCTGTGGTCATGGCGGTCTTCAGGTTCTGGAACGCTGCCGTGGCTTCCCCCGTCCATCCGTAATTTTCTTTCTTCAATTAAGCCGTGAGGGGGCCGGCAATCTGAGCATAGTGTTTGACAAACTTGCGATAATAACCCGTTAATCCCAAAAATCCCCTAAGCTCACGGAGATTCCTCGGGGTTTTCCACTCTACAATGGATCGAATTTTATCTCCATCCATGGAAACTCCCTGCTTTGATATGACATGACCAAGATATGCGATTTCACCCTTCCCAAATTCGCATTTCTTATAATTTGCATATAATTGATTTTCTTCCAACTTTTGAAGGACCAACTGCAAATGATGGACGTGCTCTTCCACTGCCTTACTATATATTAAAATATCATCAAAAAAGACCAAAACAAACTTCCTTAAATATGGCCGAAAAACGTCGTTCATAAGTGATTGAAACGTCGCCGGCGCATTTGTGAGGCCGAAAGGCATCACGAGGAACTCATAATGCCCCTCGTGTGTCCGAAAAGCCGTCTTGTGAGTATCGCTCGGTCGAACCCGGATTTGATGATAACCGGATTTCAAATCGAGCTTGGAGAAAACCGTTGCTCCATGTAACTCGTCTAATAGCTCATCAATAACCGGGATTGGATATTTATCGGGAACGGTTTCCTTGTTGAGGGCCCGGTAATCTACACCAAACCTCCACGAGCCATCCTTTTTTTTCACGAGTAAAACCGGACTTGAGAAGGGGCTAGAAGACGGTTTGATAATCCCGGATTCGAGCATTTCCCGGATAAGCCTTTCAACTTCATCCTTTTGAATTTGTGGGAACCTATATGATCTCACACTAATTGGGTCGACCCCATCTTTAAGAACAATGGAATGCTCATGGCCCCTTTCTGGTGGCAGCCCATTAGGCATATTGAAGACCCCTTTAAATTGGCCCAAGACATTCATCAAGTAAGAAGGTGGGCTAACTTCAGTTGGGCCCATTTCTTGTGTTTCAGCTTGGTTGAATTCGACCCAAAGGCCTAACTTCTCTTTTTTAAGCACCCTCACCATGGCCTTTAACGAAACTTGGGTCTTTTCGAGAGTAGGGTCTCCGGTAAGGGTCACCGGCACACCTCCGATGTTGAACTTCATGATGTGAGTACGCCAATTAGTCACCACCGGACCTAACTTCTCGAGCCATTGAACTCCTAAAATTACCTCGGCACTCCCTAAAGTGAGAGGAAAAAAATCCTCAATAACGGTGATACCTCCCCTCAATTCCACCTTGACTCCCTTACACACTCCTCTACCACGAATTGTATCCCCGTTTCCTAAGGATACCGCAAATTCCCCACCTTGTGAGATGGGTATGGCCGCTTGCTCTACTACCGAAATAGCTAAAAAATTATGAGTAGCCCCGGGATCAATCATCACCACTACTTCTTGCCCTTTTACTACTCCCCTCAACTTCATCGTTTTTGGGTTGTGTATCCCGATCACCGAGCACAACGACATGCCTCCAACTTCTTCCGACAGGGTGTCACTTCCCAACTCCGGCCCTTCGTCCTCCAACTCGACTTCACCCTCCGCGACTAACAACACACTAAGCTCCTTTCTCTTACAACGATGCCCTACACCCCACCTTTCATCACACTTAAAGCACAACCCTTTTGCCCTCCTTTCCGCTAACTCACTCTCGGTCAACCTCCTCGTAACCCCGGAAACACTTTGACTTGGGCCCGACGTGGCCCGGCCCAAATTCACGAACCCTTGGGACTCAGGAGCCTTGGGCCAGGGTTTGGGCGGCCCACTGCTGCTGGGCAGCCCGTAGGAAGCTATGAGGCCTCCTTTACTGAAGGTTGGGTTGCCTTGCATTGGGCCAGAGTTTGAAGGCCCAGCCGTTGACCCACCTCTCCAATTACTTAATGGCTTCTTTCCCAGCTGAACCCAATTCTTCTCTTCTATTCTTCCTGCCATTTCCATGGCTCTTTCAAGGTTAGGCGGGTTGAGGAGTCTCAGCTCCGATTTCACTTCCTTGTTCAGTCCGTGGATGAATTGCCCTAACATGATACTCTCCGGCACGTCCTCTAGCGGCGCCGCCATCTCAATGAATTTCCGACGATATTCTGCCACCGACCCCGACCCTTCTTGCGTCACCGCCAGCCACTGTTCGTGGAGCGTTCCCGAATGGGAAGGTCGGAATTCGCTCAAGGCCCTCTGCTTGAGGTCCGGCCACCCATAAAAAGGCCGCCGCTTTTGCTCCCACTGGAACCATTTCAGAGCGGCTCCATCCATCGCCACTACCGCCACCTCCATCTTTTCCTTCTCCGTCAATTTGTAAAAATCAAAGTACATTTCGGCCCTCGCCGTCCAATTATCGGGGTCTGACCCGTCGAAGAGTGGCATCTCCAACTTCCGGTGCTTCCAGTGACCGCCTCCGCCACCGCCGCCGCCCTCTCCGGCTCCTCTCCAGCGCCAATCCCCTTGTTCAAAGTGCGGCCAGTCTTGCTCTTCGTACGGCTTCTCTCTACCTGGCGTGAGGTTATTCCCCCCACCCAATCGCGGGTTGTTCTCTTCCACCACCGGAATAGGTTGCTGCATTCCTTGTGCTTGAGGTTGCCTCGTTTTCTCCAGTTCCTCCTGCAATTTGGTGATCTTCTGGCGATCGATTGCGGCTTGTGTATCGACCGTGGATCGGAAGCGAATTAAACGTTCCTCCACCTTATCAACGGCGGCTGTTACTTTCTCCTTGGTTTTCTTCCTTTCCTCCGCGATTTTTTGTCTCTCCTCCTCCATGGCAGCCCTTACGGCTGTTGTTACTGCTCGCGACAGGTTGTCGTCCGGGGTTTGTAGTTTCTCCACGATGGTAGCCATCTGGGCTTTCAGGTCTGCCAGCGTTCCCTCCAGGGCGTCCACCCTTAAAAAGGGGGGTGGTGGATTCCGGTGACCACGGCTGCAGGACCACCGCTCTGATACCAAGTTTGTAATAGACTAACTTACTGCAATTATAATTTAAGACAATTTGCAAGAACCAAGGCTTAAACTTGAGTATTTGATTCACTGATGATTGAATTACAAGGGATAGGCATAACTTGAGGTTATGAATCTCACAGTAGCTTGAGGCCACAAGTCTCTCATGTGTTTTCACTAATTTCTGGATCGTCTCTACTGCCCCCTAACTACAATACATATACTCAAGACTTAACTAGAACATGTGACATTAATTAACTAAAATAGAAACCCACAAAGGTTATGATTAAAGGAGGCTGCCTTCTTTCCTCAACTTCCCCTTAATTGGCCTTGTCCTGTTGTTCATTGTTCCTTCTCACAATTGACCCTTGCTGCTGCCCCTGTTTTGCGCGCCTGGAGTACACCAAAAGTGGTGGTTGAATTGGTCCGATAGCTTTGTTGACCTTATTGACCCGTTCCATAACAGTGACCTCCTGGGAAGTCCTCATGTTGTTCAAGTAGCAGACCCCACTTATGGGATTAAGTTGTTCAAGAGAAGAAGATAATATACGCTTAGCTAGAAACAACTAATCCTATAGAGTGGCACTCAAGTATGAATCGAACCAACCATAAACTTATGGTCCATGCTCTTAGCAAGGACAACATTACATGTTTACGACATTACCCCAAGACAAGCAAAGAGGCGCAAGTGGTTAACCAAAGGGAGAAATAAAAATAGAAAGAAATCCTAGTTCTAGGTTTTCCATTTTAGGTGGAGATACTTTAGGAAAGAATTAAGTGAGATTGATTCTATCCTATACTATAAAACCACACGACATGTCCATATTCAACTCCACGTGTGAGGAAGAATTTTTCTTCAATTAATTTAAGCTGTAAATCTTATCGTGGTTCAATCATGTGTGTGTTTACCATTAGAGGAGCTTTGTGTGTGGTTCTAGAAGTTTGTAACTTGATTGAATCGGTTTAGGGAAGGCACACTATAAGAGGTACATAAATATTCATATTAGTTCATAATCAATGTGCATAAATTCGTATTTGATGTGTCATTGCAAATACATTCAACATCAAAATCCAATACATACCCATGTTCAAATGTCATGGATCTGAGATGGGCAATAGAGGTGAAATGAAAATCGTAAGTAGCATAGGCACTAGCCATAGTATGTTTGTAACAAAAATATAATTCTTTTTTGTAAAATTTGAAATTTGTAAGGCTCTAAACAACCAAATAAATACAAAATGAATTAGCCCTTTATAATATTTGAAATTTGTAAGGCTCTAAACAACCAAATAAATACAAAATAATCTTGTTTCTACTTTCTCAATCATTTACAAATTTCTATTTATCTTTATAAGCCACGAAACATTATGAAAAACATAAGGTAGTGTTCACAATGTTATTTAAATTGTAGCATGAGATAAACACAACTATTTCATTGTAATAGATCAACCTAAGGAGGGATAGTATAGGTATTTTACTAATATTAGCTCACTAGGTTAATAATCCTTAGTATAAATAGAGAGTGAAAGGAAGGAAATAGGTAGGCAGAAATTTGGTGTGAAGCTTTTGGAGAGTTATGGCCTAAAGCCATTTTGGAGTTGTGAGCTAAACTCACTTTCAAAGATTGATAGCCTTAAGCTATTAACCTATCTTTGTAACCATTTCACCATTATCAATCAAAATCCAAGCTTTAACCTTTATTTACTTGCATTATTAAATCAGATTATTTACCAGATAATCAGTTCATTACACAAATCCTAAGAAAGTTATACAACACATTTAGTAATAAAAAAAAGGTCATACAAAGCAAGATTACCTATAAGCAAGTACGGGATCCGTGGAATACTCTGGTCCATATTTTGCGATGACATTCCATGCCGTATAGAAATCTAGCAAAAGATAAACTAATGAGTTTACAATTTAAAGCTATATGTATTCCCATATGACACATTTTAATATATTTCCTACCACCTTTGCAAATCAAACAACTCAAAGGGACAGGTAACAAAAGTCGTGAGATGATATTAATACTAACACAAACATCACCAACCTTCTACGGAAACCTTGCAGAAGTCACAACACCTTAACAAACCATAAAGTGTTTACATATCAAAAACAAAAGAATAAATTCTTTACAAATGAATTATAGAAAGAAAAAAATGAACAAAGAGATAAAAGGGTGCATTCTCATCCTCTTATAAAATAAGTCCTGGGCTTAACACATTCCAATAAGTTTTAATTAGGGCGGATAAGTTTATCTATCAAGTTTAGTCTCATGTAATTGGGTCTAATCAACTCTAATTAGTTCCAATACATTTAAATTAGGTTTAATAAGTTTGGGAGATTTCAGAAGAACATAATACACCAAAAGAACTAAGTGAAAATTTTTATTTTTTTGCTCTAATGTTATATACTACCTTCATTAACTATTATTTGCAACAAAGGGGTATTATTTGTGAGATATATGAAAGGAATGGTGTCCTTCAAACAAGTGTATTCTTCTGACAGCGGGTTCAGTATTATTAGAAAGCTAATATATTCCGTAAGGTCAAGTGATCGGAATGCTTGGGTGGAGGCCGCTTCCGATCAGTAATATTAATGTATAATCAATATTATAGTTTAATCTTGACTGAACCCTTCAGGTCACACCCAAGCAAATATACAAACCGACTCGAAAAATTAATTCGGAAGAAATTAATTCGTCGCCTGAGTGTTAAATATTTAGACGTCGGAAATTCGAGCTTAGAGCGTCGAAACCGAGCATCGAAAGTCGAGTCAAATCGTGATTATTGAATGTAGTTTGGAAAACAAAATAAGGAATTTAGAAAGATAAAACAGTATTTACAATACGTATTGATATTTTTAAATCGTGAAAAATATTGATGATGAGCCAATTATATAGTGTTTTTTTTTTTACTTTGTGATGATTGCTCAGATACTACATATCATGTACTAGAATCTCATTCAAATGAAATATCTCCTTTGTTTCATAAATATTACAGCTCTAAGCATAGGATTTTATGAAAACAATGTGATGAGGAGATAGGTAAAAAGAACTAAAGAGAGGGAGCCCAAATGATAGGATGAGTGAGAGGGAGAGGAAAAAGAACATATAATAACTATAAAAGTTCCATAAAAAAGGAAACACTGCAACATTTATGTAAAGAAGAAAATATAAGTTTGCTTGCAAATTTATTGAGGACCCACTTCAACAAACACTTATATTTTTTTATTTTAATATCATAAAAATTGAACTTGTAATTATGCTTTCATCAAACTTGAGCATGTGAGACAACAATACCATATATACTCTAAAAACAAATAACCAAAGAGAAAGGTTGTTTAAAAATTTTGAATAAATGAGGCAATGTACAACAACTCTGCTTAATTCTTCCATCTAAAATATTGTTTGGCCTAATTGTCACCAGATGTATTTTGAATTACTCAAATGTCGCCAAAAATGTTCTTTTGACTACTGCAGACCAACATTTTACAAAAAATATGCCAATTTGGTCGTTTGGTATTTAAATGTTTTGACTAATGAGTTGCAAAAAATATGTTTTCAGATCAGTTCAAATCAGCATATAAAGTAGGAAAGAACACACCTAATACCTTAAATATTCATTCTTCGCATAGCACAATATATATTTTAAATTAGTCTGTTTTTTTTGGGATATGCTACTCAAGTGGTTAATTATTGTGGCAAAGTAGGCTTACCAACTGCGTCAGCTTCACAAAGGTAGCCAATGCTTTGATATCCCAGAGCTCGAATTATGGAACCACTGGACTCAATGCACACCTATTGATTTAGAAAAAAGAAAACATTAAGGTAATGAACCAGGAAGATTATGGTAAGGTAGAAGAAGATAAAAAATGAACCAAAAAGACAGGTGGCAGAAGCAACAAAACTTCCATACTGCTACAGATAGAATCAGCTGTACACCCCTTTCTGGATTTCTTCTGCAAACATCCCGAAGAGAAGCAGCCATACTTATAGAAATAGTTTCATCAAATCTGAATTCAACAAAACATTCCGGCAGCAGAAAGCTCTATATAACACAAAGGAAACCAAAATTTATCAAGAAGTTCCAGAACTTGCAAGTCAAACAATTTAAATAAATAAAATAATTATTAGAAAGGATAATACTCCAGTCCCTGATGGTCATTCTAATTCCATCAGTTTATTTATATATGTAAGTACTTATCCCAGAACCAACAAGAAAGTGAAAACTGAAAGCAGCCAAACAATTCTTATTCCACAAAGTGCAAACCAAGAGAAGAAAAGGAAGAAATCAATCAAAGCCTTAATCCCATAAGTGGGGTCGGCTACATGAACCAAATTATATGAGCCCAAAAAAAAATATTTGAAACAGAATATGATGAGAAGCATTCATGCCAGGTCCATAAATGAAGCTTATAAGAAATATAGACCCTCTTATGTAAACTACATACTATTAACTACATAAACTACACATTATTAACTTAGATCCTTCAGCAACAAGATTTTACACAAGTTAACAAAGACAGATAGCATACTTACACGCAAGCTCCCGAAGACCCTATCATTAATCTCCCAGGCCTTACAAAGCAAACGAAGTGAAGTTGCATACAAGACCCTGCAGAAGAAATAAACTATCAGAACTAGTTTATATTTTGACCTGTCTGAGAAAAAAAAAAGCCATAATAGCAGAATTTTACAAAGTGATAGCTCTTAAGCTCTAGCGACAAAGTACACAAAGAAATATAACAAGAAAATGATGCTTAATAGAATCATCAGAGAGATATATATAGCAAGCAAAAATATCCAAAAAACAGGGTTCAGCAAAGATATCTTAGATGTTATCCTCTTTTTTAATTTATTCTTTAAATTTCTTCTTGGGAGTTTGATTATCTTACTTGACTTGCTATATCTCGGACAATTGAGTTGCATGAATGAATTGAACCAATTAACTTTTTGAGGGACACATATACATTGAGAATTTTTTTTATCCTGGATACGCATATATAATTAATAAAATGCATACAAGCACAGGAAATCATTGTGGTAATAAAAGTAAACCAATGCACTTACGGATTTGAATCCTTCTGAAGCATTGGTAGGACTGTTTGTAATATCAAAGGTAACATTGAGGAGTTTGAAGCAAGTACAGATAGCATTGTCAAAAGTTTCAACTGCAACATTTCAAAAGTTTTTAGTAAATGTTGCATTCAACCCTTCTCCATAATACTTCCTCCATTTCACTAAAGTTGCAGCACTTGCATAGTTGCATATGACACATTAATTTAGGCATAAGGAGAGAGACAAAGCAACCCATGTGACATACAAAAAGTAAGTGCAAAAAATATATTTAAAACAAGATAGAGGGGAGAGGAGAGAAAAATAGTGGGCCAAGCATGAGCGAAGAAATGATATATTGTAGAAGTTACGAAAAGGTGAAGTGTAGCTTTTTTTTATTGAAATATCCCAAAGTAGCAATTGTTGCTTTTTTTTTTAAACAAAGGAAGTACATAAATATTTATCTACATCTGAAAACATACTTATAAGTTATTAAGTATGAAAAGTCCTTTTTTTCATGTATAGATAAAGCCACAAGGGGCAGTGTTATAGATGACTATAAAGGATTCAATCCTAGATCATGGCCTCATGGGTACCCCGACTATTACCCCCAATACAGCACTTACCAAGCTAGATAGCGTCCACGGAATAACAGAAATTTGATAGGATTGAAATTATACATACTTGGTGAGCTAGTAACAGAGAGAAAGACACTTACTAGCCATTCATTACAATCTTTGATGTTTGACCTTAATAAATTGCAGTAGTATAACACAGCTAGCAGCAGTGAAACACCAAGTTTGGGTTCCATATTGCTGAGAGCAGCTAATGTTTCTATAGCACTGCTTCCCAAAGATTGATGTACAACCAGACTTCCAGTAAGCGCACCCAGCAGAAAAGGTACCTCTATATGCATCAAATAAATGTAAAAAAATCATCATAAATTCAATTCAGGCATGAATTACACTCTCAGCTTTGATACAAGGACTTTACCAGTTGAGACAACTTCGTGAGATGATGACATGAGGACAGAGGACTTGTGTCCCTCAGCAATAGACAAAGCATATTTTCCTAGATGAGATAGCCAAGATTTTGATCCACTCTCATAATTTCTATTTCCACAGGCAGAATAAATGTTTAGAAAGAAAGAACAGGGGGGTAAATCCTGCAAGACATGTGGGCAAAGGAAAATGGCATCAATTACAATTATGGATTACAGCTAGTGCATTCATTAATCTTTCTCAAGCATCATACCACAACTAATTTTAATTGCTTTGATCTAACATCATCCCATACAATCACAAAGGGCATCATACCATTCAACTGTAAATTTTATTATAGTACATGTTAATTTACATATAAATAAAAAAAAACATAAAAATATAAAAACCAAAGGAAAAAATCTTCTTAACCCTAAAAAAGTTGTGAATGGGACCAGGGTTTATCATTCAAAAAGACATAACAAACTAAGAAAGGCAATCTTAGTAGACCTTATTATAATCCATCAGCCCTTATCTCCCTTATATTATCTTATCTAAGCTTTCAGCCTTTTTATTTATCCGAGCTTATTATCCCTACTATCTTATCTTATATGAACTTAATATACCTGAATGAGTGAAAATTAGGTGAAGATAACAAAGCCTAAGCTATTGTACTATTGTAAATGTTTATATATTATAATTTAGAAAAGTCATTTACTACAGGTTTTACCACCAAAAATCACCTCATTTTTTCTCTTAAACATACCATGATTCTTCAGTTCTTGTTATAAATTTTACTGGCTGCTCAATATCTTCATAAATAAAAGTTTTCAAGAATATAAGGTGGCGAGTTACCAACCAAAGTTGCTAGGTTTTTCATTATTACTTATTGATAGCATTAAAATTTGGAAGCATTCATTCTCTTCATCATCTCTTCAATTTCATTTGTCCATTAACCTCCCTTCACTTTTTTTTCTCTCTTTTTTTTTTTTTTTTTTTTTTTTGTATTTAAGCTAATTCTCCAACTTAATCACTTTTTCTTGACAAACTACTATCTCCATGTATTCTCATGGTTTTGATTTGGAGAGAATGTAGCTTTTATGTTGGGATGTCAGTAGGAAATCTGAATTTTAGTTAGCATTATTAAGAAAAATATATAATGAGTAAAGATTTTCTATATCATTTTGCTCATTATGTAGTTGCATACAATTTGGATAGTACTACTTATATGAGAACAATTTTTAAATACTAATTGTTGTAATTTAATAAGAATGTAGCTTTTATGTTGAGACGTCAGCAGAGAATATGAATTCTGGTTAGCATACTCAAGAAAAAACATTATGGGAAGGATTTTTTAATATAATTTTACTCATTATGTAGGTTGCATACGATTTGGCGAGTACTATTTTATATAAACTTATTATTTTGCAACATGAACTTTAATCTTATAAAATTAAGTAATTGGTAGAGAATTGCCAAAGATTTAAGAGATGGATTCTGTTGTGGACCAACAACTGGCGGCCCAACCAGCAACCAATGTCTATACTCAAAGGTCAAACAGCTCAAAGAGGCGGGAGACAACATTCAAAAGCAGAATTGGCTAGAAAAATGGGGGACAACCTTAAACTGCAGCAAAGGGACGAGGAAGGAAGAAGACAAATCGAATTAATGTTCCACTAGGGAGCCATGGCACTGTTGTGATTCTCTAAGTAGTAGTAGACAAATGTAATTAATGTTAGGGTTGTTTGTATCACTTGAGTATAAGTAGATTAATGCTAGAGAGTAGAAGTTATGCAATTAGAGAGTGAGAAACTAGAAGAGAGACTTGTAGCCTCAAGTTATAAACTGGAGAGTGATACTCAAGTTATCTAATTTGTAATTGTTTCTTTAACTATCAATCAGCTAGTCAAGTTAACAACCTTAAATTAGCAATTGTGGATTATTTGCTTACAAATTTTTGGGTATTTTGTACAGGTATTTAACTTTAAAGGATTTATGTATAACAATTCAATTGATCAATGTAAGACTAATACTATATCTAATCTAACTTCAAAAGTTCAAAGGATTTTTGTGCAACAAATTAATAGATCAGTAGAAGACAAACAGGAAATCTTAGTACCCTTCAATGCCTTCATATCATATGGAAATAATGGAACAAGCTTCTTTCTCCCTTTATCTTATAGTTCCTGTTCCTCTCTTCAATTCTACATAGCTAATAGCTAATCTTATTGTTCAGTTGTTGCTATTAGTGTGGTATTGAAGAGAACAATTAATTTGCTTTATTGCATTATCAATGGCATTTTAACCAGGAAAAACAATGCAACGAGTCCATAAAAAATAAAAAAAAATTAAAAAAAATGAACCATGTAATCATTAAAACAACATAGAAAGAAAAAACTACCTGAACCCATAAATGCCGCAGCAGCCTTAGGATGGTCATTTCAAGCTTGCTTACAAATAAAGATTCCCTTTGAATAGATAGTTCGTCCTTCAACGAGGTCGAACGACTTACAAGGAGCTTTTCCAACATCAAAAGAAACTGAGATGCTGCTTGTTTCACAGTGTTTGAAGGAGAAGACATCAAGCTGATGATAGGAAAAAAGAACAAAGACACTTCACATGGATTACATACAGCTCCCGGCATAACATTCTCTGCAACAAGGCCATTAGAAATTTGATTATAAAGGTGCTAAGTTAGAGCTATATATATCACAAAAACATAAAGCCATGCAGCTTAGAGGTTTACATTCATTCTATAAATCAGAAAAACTAAATTACACACTCCATTATTTTTGTTCAATATCATGGATAGGCGTTGTTTCCTTCCCAAGGGTCTGCAGTATTTCATTTCAAAAGCTAGAGTAATATTCCCTAAGTGCTCTACTTGGCTGGCACTACGTTTAATGTTGTATTAAATGGAATACAATATTGGGGATTAAAAAGTATAGGGAAAAAAAAAAGGGAGAGAGATAATGGCTTAATATTATTCATGAGTAAAGATGTGAGACAAGAATAAAAAATAAAAATACAGAAGTGGAGAGCCTGGAGACCATGTAATCTCTTATTTTTTGTCACACCTCTTGTCATAGTAATCATCTCAACGATCAGAGTCGTTAAGCTAAACAGCTTTCTTTCATCAGAACCTATCATACCAAAGCTTCAACCTACCATCTTGCCAAATAAAAAAGGGAGGGAGGAAGGCAGGGAGGGAAGGAGAATGTTCTCACCATCATGAATTCTCCATTTGAGGATGTATGCTAGGAGATCAAGGACAAATAACTTTTCATCTTCAAGTTCCAATTGAGCTAGAAGCACAAAGAGAGATAACATAGGAGAGTAAAATTGAGGGAGATAGTGCAATTTAAGCTCTTTCTGGAAACTCAAAAGTCTCCTTGATAGTTCAAGGACAGGCTTGCTTTCAATATTACACGTTTCAAACTCCAAGCACAATGTGAGAAGAGCATCCAACAGTTTCACCCCAATTAATTGAGCTTCAGTAACCATCTATCAAATAAAATTTGAACATCAGAATAGCAAAACGAAGTAATAAACTTCTTCTGCTTAAATAATTAGCAAGCATAGGTAAATTTCATATAAGTGTCACTCTTGACAAATGATTACTCTGAAATTTGCAACTGATATTAGAGAATATGGACTCTCCCATAAGATTCGTGAAAAATATAAAGATAGCGGATTTACAGCAATGGCTCTCCTCTACCTCCTTCCCTCCCTTTTCCCAGCCCCCCCGTTGGCTACAAGGCAATATGGTACCTAGACTCAGTATCAGGAATAGCATGAATCTGTCAGAAATTCTCCCCCAGCCGGTTTGGATTTAGGAGGAAGTATGAAATCCATTAAAAGAGCGAGATAATGCAACCCACACCTCTTCTTTTACCATAATCTGCCCTTTTGATCTTTTTCAATTCTTTAATTTGATTCTTGTAACTACAGACATACAGCACAACAGCATCGTCAACATAAGTGGTTTTAGATGTATATTGACAGCAGAAGCAAGAAGGATTTCCATTCATTAAAATAAAGGACTCCATATTGTTTTTTTTTTTTCTTAACTTCTGGCACTGATTTATAAACCTCACATTGACCATACATTCATATTAGTACTTTCTCAGTATCATAAATATTGGAACATGTAGAAAAGCACAACTTTAACTGATATATTAAAATCACGTCACAAGACGAAGTTAACAAGATCCCACATGACTATGTTTTTCCTTTAGGAAATAAAGTAAAAGTTCAAATGTTGAAATATTAATATTGTTTTAAAACATTAACTGTTTATAACTTATACCTAAAAATACTTTCTTCTTTTGTTCTTATTTGGTTGAAACATTTCTTTTACCACATTTGTCAATGCAGATTTTCAACCTCTAATATTTCTTATTATCAAAAAGTTAGAAAAAAGTTGATATGATGAAAATATAAATTGAGACGTTTTCAATAAGATTTGTTTTATAATAACTATAACACAGAAAAGCTAGTCAAACAAGAGTTAGTGAAAAGTGTCAAACGTCAAAACGTGTAAACTAAAAAAGAACAGAGGAAATATATATATTAAGCGTTAAAGTTGCGGGCCAGAAAAAGTGCAAGTCAAATTGGAACAGCTAAGAAAATCAAGGGAGTAGAAACAAGTGCTAAATACAGATGAATTAAAGGAGGGGAAAAATAAGGAAAAGAAAACATACAGATCCAATCTTAACTAAGTGCTGCAAAACTACACTGTGCGCATCCACTAATAATTCGGCAAAAATGACAGCTTTCCCAATATCCTGTAAAAAAAAAACCAGACAAAAGCAGTAGCAGTTCTTTCAAGTAAAAAATTCTCTAATTCTACCAACAGACAAGATCAATCCTCAAAATTTTTTAATGTTGTACAGAACTTCATGCTCCAGTCTACTTACCTCAGCACCTCTAAGGCTAAAGCACCTCAAACAATCAATCAGCATCTCCAAAAGAGGACTCGCCTCATTAAGTAAGGAGCAACAAAGAGACATCAATGAATAAATCACAAGACTCAAGAATGAGGACAATGATGAATCTGAAGAGCATGACATCAGAACAGAGAAGGTTAACAGAGGCCTCAAGTAGTCACAGACTTCACCAATCCCATTTTGCTTGCCATGCACCACAAACAATACAACTTGTTGAACAAGTTCATTTTGTGACTCTGAACGACTTGCTAAAACCTGGAAATATAAAAAGTTTCAAAATTTAAGCATTTTGAAAACTTTGACAGACATATGGAGCAGAGGGAGTCAAATGTTTTCAGGAAGATTAGATCCCAAAATTTAAAACATGGGGATCCCCATTTTACTTCCAGTAAGATAGAGCACACGTTCACCAATAAAAGGCAGCAGTTAAAAAAATTCTCTATATTTAAAATGTTGCAGTACAAAAGCAATATTACAAAATATACAATGCTTCGTAAATAAGCTCTAAAATCCAAGTACGTAATGATACTATTCCCCTATAAATTACATTCAGGGTTTATCGAATTCGAGATCAAAGTGGCATAATTACAAGACCTATTAGTTTTGAGCAAATTTAAAGGTACACTTTTAAAAGCCATACTATATATCTCACTAGCCGAAAGGCAGCAATTCAAGCCTTTAGCTCGTCAGTTTTCTTAAGAGGTAAAAATTTCATTAATGTAAAAGGAAAAAGGCACATCAAAAGTGAACCAAGAATCCACTATTATGTCCAATCACAAAGATCCTCTTTATATATCATCGCTAAGGCTCCCAACAGTATCTGTTAACTTAACCTGGTAGAATAAAATCATAAAGACTACTAAAATAAGTACAAAAATTACTAAACTGCAAGCAATTCACAGGTGTCATTTTTTTTTTTTTTTGGTAAATTGAAAATTTTATTACCAAAAGGAGAACAAACAATTACAACTTACAAAAAGCTAAGTTGCAATACCAAACTACACAAGCCAACAAGAAAGGCAACCAACAACCCCTAACAGTTCCTGGCACCATAATGCCACCTTCTAGGAAGGGTTCACCATAGCACTAGGAACCAAAGCTACTTCTGAAGCAACTCACCACATTCCAGGAAGGGTGCCAGCCACCAGGAGCAGCATAACAACAAATAGACCAACTAAGGAAGCCCTAGACTCAGTTGCAGGACAAACACCACAACAGGACTAGAAGCATTGTTGTTGACCAGAACAGGACCACAAACCCCACAACAGGACCAGAAGCATTGTTGTTGACCAGAACAGGACCACAAACCCCACGACAGGACCACAAACACCACAGGTGTCATTTTACTGTAAATTTTCATGCCACAACTTTTCCTGCATCTGTCTGTTAGCTCTCAATCATGACCAGAAGCATTGTTGTAGATTCAAAGGTGTTTAGGTTTCAAAACTTCTTGTTCATAGTGCTACATGTAAGATCAAATAATTCCCTCATAGTTTTCAGAGTTGAAATAGAAGGTGGAGTAAAAGACATATATTTACACACGCACACACACACAAATTTAAAGTGATAGATGACTTGATGTGCATTTTGCTTGAAATTAGCAATATACTTTTGTAGCACTCGGTAGTCAAACATTGAAGAGAAGTAATAAATCCTTCCCGAAGAATTGGAGATTGATGATTCCACAACATTTTCAAGCCAACTTTGGTAACTCCACAAAATTTATAAAGCAAAGTTATAATTAGAGAAGCATTCACATGGTATTTGACTGTTTGTTGCTATTATGAAGCCATAAAGGCTGTTTTGGACAGTGGAAGCTTAGGTGAGTCAGCCCCTGCTCTGAAAAAAGGAGTTGATTAGGTCATTAGTTGGATAGGGAAATCTTGTAACGTTAATTTACATCATACAGTTTTAAAGGGATGTTTGGTAGCATATATTTAGTTTGTCAGTGAGCTGCTGCATTGCTGCAGCTGCCACAGAGAATCGGAATTCAGCAAGGTGCCTGTGGCTAGGTTGCATTAGTCAATTGTGGAATGATCTGCAATACGGGATTTAGAAAGAAGATCAGTCTTGAAAGACAACCAAAATCTCCCCTTTTTATAGAATAAAAGAAAGATGGTAAATAAGAGTTTGACAAAAAATGAACACTGCAACTACAAAAATTGCACGTGGCAAGGATGTCACAGTGTTTTTCCAAGTGGTAAAGAGGATCAAATGAATTGTATGAAAGTTCTGCTAATTGTCATGTTGTGTACTTTCCCATATATATACATGCTCCCAACATCTCAGTTGACACATTTTCCTTATAAGTTCATCCCAATTAACATAGGCGAGGAACAGTTGGAACAATGCAGCTAGGTGTAGCCAAACTATTCACTTTCTACCAAATTTAAGTAGCTTAGTAATAGTTTTTTTTTCCCTGCTCATTATTTCAAAAATTGATACTTATTATGCTGTTAAATGCTTGAACTTGAATAATCCTGCCGAGTACATTACAAAGCTGCACACTTAGGCCAAAATTCATCAGCATGCATAATCATGCATTGACTAGTGTAGTAGTGCAAGGAGGCCATGTATGTTTTTGCATAGTCATGCATTCACACACGAGTTACAATACGCTTTGAATGATATAGTGAAATTCTAACTTCGGCTTTATGTTCTCATCATCATTTTAAGGTGTACTAGTCTACAATTATAAGGTCTGCTCTAGTCAAGTCTGATAAGGTATGCTCTAGTCAAGTCTGACGTGGACTGCTTCTCTTATGTTGGGTCTAGTCTAAATAACGATTTGGTCTATAATCCTTGCATGCTCTAAATTGTTGATTTCACAATTTTGCCTACTTTGTTAATAGTTTTTTCTAGTTTAGTATGGTCACATGTTAACAAAAATAAGTATTAAACAAAACCTCATTCTTGTTAATAATATGAACATAAAGATGATAACAAGGAAAGTTTGAGAAAATAGTTTTTCTTCCTGATAAACAAAAAATTCGTTTAACTAGTGGCATTTTTGTAAATAAATCAACTAACTTTGTATTAAATTTGGGCCTATAATTTGATTCAAACTTTGCTTGGTGCAACCTTGTTCCATATTAATATTACTTATAGTCACATTCCAACTCAAATTAATTAAAATATCAATCATATTCAGCAATAAGAGTAACGACAAATCAAGTAAGCAATACATATTTATTTAAAATAATCGATTAATAAAACAATTCAATGCAATAGGTTACCTTAACAAAGGGATGATCCTCTGGGGCATGAACAAAATTTTCTGAAATAAACCTTTTACTACGAAACCCGAAACGAACAAGAAACCCAATTCCTTTAACAAAAACATTAACGAAGCGAGGCGGGCAACCTTCAAGAGCAGATTGAAGCTCAAGAAGGGCGAATGAATGGTCTAATTTGGACTCCTTGACGAGGCGACAAAGCTCGTGCACTGATTGATCAACCACAGCAAGTGAAGAGGACTGAAGGCATTGAGTAATGGCCTCCCTTTCAGGGTCTGAATTAGGGTTTAAGATTGAAGGTGTTGATCGGAGTTTTTCGAAAATTTGAATAACAGCGTAGCGTTGAAGAGAGGGTTGGGGCACTTTGGTTCGCACTAGTAAGGGAGTGTATGCTTCCATGGGAGGGTAATTGAAGAAGAAATTATGCGAATTAATCGATTACTTGGAGAATTGCCTCCGGTGAAATAAGGTGTCCGCGGTGTTGTTATTGGAAGGTTGTCAGACGAAGAGTATAGCTTACGCCCGGAGGAATGGAGTGGCGACAACCTAAATTGAAAAGATAATCCCACTTTGGAGTAAATAATTCCGCCTTTGCCCCCGCTCAAAACAGTCCTTTAACCGGTTTGTTTCTTTGATAACCTATAAAAGAAAACAACCTTGCCATAGTCACCTTTTAATTGGTCGAATTTTAATTTTTTAAACTAAAAACGTAAAAATTAATTAAAAAAAAAAAAACAACCCTCTTTCCTGTTCCCCTTTCCTCTTCCAGATCTCCCACTCGAACGGAGCTCACCCACCGTCCCACCCATGCCGGAGCAGCCCCACCTACAACAGGAAGTCAACAACAACAACCCCCTCCTTCATGACTCCATCTTTCACGCATCCAGTGGCGGACCTAGAATTTTTGAGTCACCATCATTTATTAATCACATATGAAAGTACAAAAAATTTTGGGTCTAGTTCATAATTGTATTCAATCCAAAAATTATATTACAACAAATCGATTTCAATCCAAAAAAAGAACACAAAAATCTATACTACAATCAAATAGTACTTAAAAAAATTCATCTTACAAACTAAAGTTACTACAAATAACATCTACTCCAATGGGACCAACCATTATTTTAATAGTAAGAAAAAAAATACAATGACCATAGAGGCCTGTTTTTTAATAACCAGACTGTTTGACCCATTATTATAAAGAATTACAAAAAAAATGACCTTAGAGGCTTAGGGACCAACTGTTTAAACCACCGGTCTCTTTTCACTACAAAAATAAAGCACCGATAATAAAGCGGAAGTGGGTGAGTGAAGTCTGCATTATTGCTACTAGTATCTAAGAGACCTGTTATTTATAATAACTGGTCTCTTTGATAGATTTCTGTAAAAAAAAAATTTAAACTTCATTTTTTTTAGGGGGAGGGGGGGAAGGGCTGCTGGTGCACGTGCACCAGTGTGCACCAACGTAGCTCCGCCCCTGCACGCATCCTTCCAAAACCCACATCCAATCAAGGCCTTACATTTTTACTACATTCTTTCAATTCAAAGCTTCAGGTTTCCTTAAAAATAATTTTTTTTTTTTTTTAAAAAAAAAAAAAAGCTTTAGGGAATTTAATCAATCACAAAATCATCACCATTTTTACCTAAATTATCATTAGATCAATACACCTTCAATTTTTATTTTAATTCTGACACAATTCCTCTTTCCCATTTTAATTCATTTATTTCAGGTTTCAATTCAGTGCAAGACGTAGAAAAATCAGCTAAACCAATGGAGCAAATTGTGATGGATCTTAGTTCAGTTCGGTGTCATGGTGAATTTCGGAGTTGCGATGGTAAAGATGAGTTTTTGGTGAGTTTCGAGGTGTGAATTTGATGTTGTTGTTGCTATTGATTTCCTCCTACTTTTATTTCTCCTTAATTTTATTCTTTGTAGTATAGTTCCTTTAATTAATAACAAAATTGGTTACTTAATAATTTAGATTACTCTTGATTAATTGTGAATAAATTGACTTGTTTCCTTGTGGTTCGGCCCTTCTTTTCTATCTGCATAGTTAGTGGACTTAGGACTTATTTTTTATAAGGTAATACGACTTTAGCTTGTCAAAATTTGGCGCCGTTGCCGAGGAGACGGTTTTATTTATATTTCTGATTGTTTTTTGTAGTCTAGATTATTCTCTCTTGTCTCAGAGAACGTTAGTTCTTTGAGGCAATTCTCATATTTGTCTTTTAGTTCTTTGTTTATGCCTAGGTGTTCCAGATCAGGTTATATTCCATTAGATCCTGAGATCGAGCGCTCTTTTCATACATAAAAGAATCTTTACAGGCAAATCTTGGCGGGTTCTAGGGATAACGATAATCACATAGACCCTCCAACTGAATCTAGTGATTCAAAAGTTCCTTCAGATTCAGAATCAGAGATGACAGCACCTAAGAAGCTCAGCGATTATTCGCAGCCATCCTTGACGGATTTTCCACACCTTACTCCTACTCCGGCCCTTGATGGAGTGCAATTTGAAATCAAACCCCAATTTATCACAATGATAGAGTGGAAGCAATTCAGTGGAGCTAAAGATCCTAATCTTCACATTGCAGATTTCTGCCAATATAAAAATACCATTATGGAGAGTAGAGATGGGGTCTCGCAAGACCAAATCAGGGAGATTCTTTATCCCTTTTCTATATGTGGAAAAGCTAAATTATGGTTTAATGGTTTGAATAGAACTGCACTTGGTATTACTGACTGGGAAACTATTGCTTTGAATTTTTATAATAAATATTACCCTGCAGAGAGAACAGCTTTGTTAAAAAGTGCAATTCAGAACTTTGCCCAAGAGCCAGATGAAACTCTATATGAGGCTTGGGAAAGGAGGATCTATAGAGAGAATGCCCCCACCATAATCTGGCACAATAGCAGTTGATCTAAGCCTTTTACAATGGACTTGGAAATTCATCTAGATCAATTCTAGATTCTGCTGCTAGTGGGAGATTCATGAATCTTAATGTTGAAAATGCAAGTCAGGTTATCGAAAACATAGAAATTCACAATTCCCAATATGGGAATCTGAGAAGGTTTGCTAACAAAGGAAAACATAATGTCGATTCTATATCCTTTTTGCAGGCTCAATTAACATTTATTTGTCAGAAACTAGATAATCTTACTGTTGTTCCTAACTCTGCAGCTAATGTTTCTGTTGTTGCTAATAATGAAGGTTTTTATGAAAATTGTGGAATTGTAGGACATTAGGAGCAAGATTGTAGGAGTTCCATATAGCAAGTTAATGCCTTCCAATCCTATAAGCAAAATAACCCATACTCTAACTCTTATAATCCTGGCCCCCGGAACCACCCATATATTTCCTACCGGAGTACCAATGTACAAAACCCTCCACCTCCACAACAAACACAACAGCAACCACCAGCACAACAAAAATATTACCATCCTAATTCTGGCCAGAAAAACCAGTCACAATCCTCCTCATCTTCTGACCCTGCTATGTTAGAAATTAGAGCAATGCTTTCAAGCATGCAAAAGCACATGGATAGTAGGGATGCACAAATTGATTCGATTATAGCTCATAAGAAAAAAACATGGACAATCAAATTGTGCAGATTTCATCTACCCTACAAACTCGTCAATAGGGAGCTCTACCATCGCAACCAATCCTTCCTAAAGATCATGCCAATGCAATCACTCTAAGGAGAGGTTCACACTATGATGGACCTCCTATGCCCAAGGATGATGGACCTGTTGCTAATCCTGATTCCCTTGTACCAAATTCTAATCTTACTAACCATGCAGGGCTATAAAAAGAAACTAACCCCTCAAATGTTTCTTTGCAGGGTAAATTTTAAGACAAGGGTAGAGATGTGCAGAGCCCAGTTATCAAACTACCATTCCCCAATATACATTTGAAGAGTAAGTTTGATAAGCAATTCGGTAAGTATTTGGAGGTTGTTAAAAACTTGTAGGTAACAGTTCTTTTCACTGATTTAATTAGGGCTGGCAAACGGATCAGGTCGGGTCGGGTTCGTGTTCGGGTCACCTAATTTCGGGTCAGCTACCCCCCAACCCGAACCTGATCCATTTAACTTTTCGGGTTGAAAACCCCAACCTGAACCTGATATTTTCAGGTTCGGTTCAACCCGAAATTGACCTTACTTGACCTGATTTTTTATTTGGATTAAAATCAGGTTTCTTTGACCTGAACTTGACCCGACCCAAACCTGATATATTCAGGTTCGTGTAAACCCAAAATTGACCTGAATTAACTTTTTTTTCATTTCAAACACAAGTTGTTCAGAGGTTAAGCGTTTTAATTCAAACCAAAATTAAATGGCATAGTCTAACAAAGTAACAATCCTAATTAACGATTATAAATCGATAAAAAGTGCAATTCACTAATTACAAACCAAGTTTCAAAAGACAAAAGTTTTTTTAACACAAATTACAGTTCTCAAAAATAATAGAAGATGCAATAAGATTTTCATTTGGATTAAGATCGGGCGATGTTGAGACTGTCAATCTATCATGGTTGTCATCCTTTTTCACCACCTCAAGCTTTAAAATTAATCCACAACATTTCCAATTGAACATGGGTGATTACTTCTTGCTGCCAAACCTATAAAGAAAAACAACACTAATATAATTAAAACATGATAATAATCTAAATCAGACTAGATTGTCTAGATCTAACTAGTAAGATCTAAATTAAAACATGCATGCTCATGAAAAACAAAAAATAACAAGAATCACCATTACATAAACAACATTTAACAATAAAAATTAGCATTACATTCGAAAATTAGCAAAAACAACCGTATTATAACATAAACAACAACATTTAACATCATAAATTAGTAATAACACTCGAAAATTAGCATGTAAAAAAACAAAATAAACGAAAGCATGTAATTATAAAACTAACAACAAAAGAATACGAAAATAAACAAAAATAGCATGTAAAAACACGAAAAAAGAAACAGAAAATAAATTAAGAAGCAAGATACCTTGATTGATGAAGGAGAAGAATTAAGGAACGCGTCTTGTGGAGGAGTGAAGGAGTCAAGCCGTGAAGGAGATGACAAATTGACAATGGTAAACGGCTGAAGGAAATTAAAGAGAAAATTCAACAATATAATGAGTTTTTGAGGAGAGAGAAAATTAAAGAGAGAGAAGTGAGGGGAAAAACGGCTGAAGAGGTGAGGGGAAATGAGATTATTTTAGGGTTTTGAATTTATATAGGAAGCCTCTTTGTGCATTTGGGCTGGGCTAATAAAAGCTTTTTACGTTTTTTTTTTTAAAAAAACTTAAACTAATTCGGGTTATCAGGTCGGGTTTCGGGTTGACCCGACCTGATTATGACTTGAAATTTATTTCGGGTTAAGTGGGTCGTTTTCGGGTTGAGATTTTCAACCTTAACCTAACCCATTTAATTTCGGGTTTGGGTTCGTGTCGACCCATTTAAGTTTTCGGGTCAAAAATCTCAACCCTAACCCGCTTTTTTCGGGTTGGGTTCGGGTCGGGTTTTCGGGTCGGGTCAGTTTTTGCCAGCCCTAGATTTAATCACTCAGGTTCCTGCATACGCTAAATTATGAAAGATATTTTGACTAGGAAAAGGGCCTTTGATGAGGTAGAAACTGTAGCTTTTACAGAGGAATATAGTGCTTTATTACAAAATAAATCCCCTCCTAAATTAAAGGATCATGGTAGTTTTTCTATCCCTTGTCATATTGGTAAGTCTTCATTGATAAAGCATTACGTAATTTGGGTGCTAGTGTCAGTGTTATGCCATTGTCTATGTGTGTTAAGCTTAATATGGGTGATTTGAAAGTTACTAACATTACTTTACAGATGGCATACTATTTTGTTAAATACCCCTTAGGTATTTTAGAGGATGTTCCTGTCAGAGTTGGTAAATTTTTATCCCTGTTGATTTGTTGTGTTAGACATGGCTGAGGATACACAAATTCCCATTATATTAGGTAGGCCTTTTCTCCATACTGCATGAGCCATTATTGATATTAAAAATGAAAAACTAACCATTTCTGTAGGAGATGATAATATCACTTTTAATTTAGGGAAGGTTTAAAAGGGCGTATGTTAGAAGAAAACTGTTGTTTAATTGGTGTCATTGATACAATGGATGATATTTGTGAAGAAAGCTTACCACTGGTTCTTGCAAGGGATCTCTTGGAGGAAGTTCTTTATGGAGATTTATCTGCAGGTGATGCAAGTATTTGGAGCAATGAGGTGGATGCTATTGAGAAAGCTCTCTTAGTAGAAGAGCTTGATCCTAAAGAGACCATGAAGGTAGTGACATTAGTTTAGGAATCAAAACCTGCAGAGGTCAAGAAACCTGAACTAAAACCTCTCCCTTCTCATTTGAAATATGTTTTTCTTGATGAGCAGGAACTAAACCCTATGATCATTAGTACTGCACTTGATGACCCACAAACTTCCCAACTTCTAATGGTTCTTCGAACCCACAAAAGGGCAATTGGGTACAGTATTGATGATGTCAAGGGTATTAGCCTTGATTTTTGTATGCACAAGATACATTTAGAGGACAACTACAAGCCATGTATTCAACCCCAAAGGAGGTTGAATCCTAATATACAAGAAGTAGTCAAGAAAGAGGTGATGAAATTACTTGATGCAGGTATTAACTATCCTATTTATGACTCAAAGTGAGTAAGTCCTGTTCAGGTGGTTCCTAAAAAGGGTGGGATGATTGTGATTAAAAATGATAAAAATGAATTGATTCCCACTAGAACTGTTACAGGGTGGCGTATGTGCATTGATTACTGTATATTAAATATCACCACTAAAAAGGACCACTTCCCTCTCCCTTTTATTAATCAAATGCTTGAGAGATTGGCAAATCATAATCTCTTTTGTTATTTGGATGGTGTAAGGAGGGTGTTCCCATCATAGGGGATCCTTCTCCTTAGATGCCCATGGATCTTTAAAAGCCTAGGACTTTACAATTGTTAGGTTGTATTAGAATTTGAATTCCTGACTGTTTGGGAGACCTTGAATTAGAAATGATACTCTCATCACGCTTTTTTGTAAGAAACAATAGTTTTAGGAAAACTCACAAGTAGAGTTCAAGGGATAATTAGCGCGAATCGTAAGTTTACCCATGCCCAAATTGGTCTACATAAACCAGAAATGAGTTTGGGAGCGAGGGTATTAAGATAGCGTTCCCTTTAGAGGGGAATCGCTATCTTAGCCCTAGTACGGCCTCTACTAGCTCTTCCTTTTTCACAATTTCATTACCAAACAATATATACAACGTGATACCTAAAGACTAAGTTAGTTGATTTTATTTACAAGCATTAATCACGTAGGAATTACATTGCAAAAGTCGTTATTCTTTGTTTAATCAGTATTCGTGAAAAGAACAAAATAAACAATATTCGCCTTGTCTTAAGTGATAAAACAATAATTAATTATCAAGTTCTAGTCTTAATTAACGAAAGAGTACTATGTGAATTATTTAATTAAAAGTTTGTTTAAAGTGATCAAATAATACTAATTAATAAATTAAAGTTATTTAAATAATAGAAGAAAAGTGATTTATCTAAGTGCTCATGAAACTAACTGTTCTTCTTTTATGTTAAATCTCCGTTTAATGCGTTTATGAACTTTCTTTCATCTTCGTACCTCCAAGGACTTCAATGGATTCAATTAGGGTTGGAAAGTATTTTGGAAGAGAGAAGAAAATTAGTATGATAGTAAGAGAACTTGAGAGATTAGGGTTTTGAGAATGCTAGGGTTTGAATTCTGATTTTTCGGTCCTCGTAATGCTGAACGAAGACCCCTATTTATAGGCGTAAGGATCTAGGTTTAGGGTTTTAGAGTCGCGTCATCAGGTGGCGCGCGCAACTCTCTGAGTCGCGTTGGGTGCCGCACGCATTTCAATGAGTCGAGCGCGCCAGGCGCGCGCAACTTACTGCGATTTGACGATAAAAAAACACATTTTTAAAACTTTCATAACTTTTGATTGCAAAGTCGGATTTAGGCTTGTGAGATATCATTGGAAATCTCTGAATGTCTACTTTCCAATGTTGTTAGAGTTAGGGTAAAATCTGTTATGGATCAATAGATATGGCCGTTGGAGTGCAAGAGTGTCGGTTTTAGGGCCCGGTTTAGTGTTTTGATCATAACTTCTTCGTTTTAACTTAGAATTGGGCTTATAATATACAATTGAAAGCTCTTTGAAAGGGATATCCATATGTATAGGCCATTCATGGAAATATGATGGTTAGTTTATCTCTTTGGCTCGGTTTTCAACAATGTAAGATTCGTTGGATGCAATCATTGCATTTGACGCATTTGGGTCCGTTATTAATCAAGTTTAAACATGTATGAGCATGTTTTAGGCCTAATTATTAATAAGACAAGGATATAAGATAACTTAGTCTCAAATATGGGTTTTAACTTACTTCATAATGTATTTCGTAGTCCATAAACACTTCAACTTTGATCTAACATGAAGAACGGATTTTTGTAACATCATCGCACTTCCTTTTGGGACAAGAGGCCAAAAGTAGGTTTCTACAGTTAGCCCCGACTTTGATTGAGTCTAGAATAGACGATGATCAAAGTAGTCAATGAAATAAATCTGAGACTCATTCTGCGAAGTTTTCTAAGAATATAGAATCTTTCAGTAATATTTAAGGACGTCGAAACGATCCTTGATTCTCTAAGTGTTTGATACAAGTAGCTATTAAGGCAAGAAAAAGTATTTTCTAGTCTTAGTGCGCTAAAGAATCTAGATTGATCCTTTGCAAATGTAGAACACTTTTACAAGTAAAGGTGTTATGGGTGATGTCACGTCATGAGAAGAAATCGTTTAAAAAGGATTAAAAGGGGATGATGTCCTCCCAATCATGTCATCGTTGGTCTAAATTCCCACGATATGTCATTGAAACTTTATCCTGATTTTAACAATTTGAAAAGATGATAAAAAGTGTTTCAGCTTTCGCAGCCTAAATGTTTCGGCTTTCGCAGCCTGAATGTTTCGGCTTTCGCACCTTGAATAAATTTCTCGACAATTTGCCTGTCAAAACGCAATACTCGGTGCCCACAAGATGGAAATACATGTCTTAGGACTAGAGGCATATATCCAAATCCAGTGAGAGATAAGAAAATCGGCAACTCTCTCCACTGTTTTGTCCACAAGATGAGTACACGTGTCTTAGGACTGGGGGCACGTGCCTACATAGGTGCGACATTTTTTCGCCGCTCTTTATACAGGGGGTGGACGACACCCTAACTGTCCGGTAAGCCAGTAAGCTCACTAACTACCGTATTTGCTTCCAATCAAGAAGTGTCTGTTCCTGAATTGTTCGGCACGCCTGTCGACTCGTGAGCTAACACCTAAAGTAAAGTAATTCTACCTTTTAGTTCCGAGTGGTAGATCTCGCAAAGCTGGAGAAGAGGTGAAATTTTCCGCAACACCTACGCTATATAATTTTACGCTATATGATAACGCCTTGCATTTTTACGCTGCATGATAGTCTTCCTTTTTGCTATGGACGTGAAAAAAGAAGAAAAGCCGGACATTTATAACGTCAGTACAGTAAAATGACAAACCTGACTATGGGAGCTTTTACGTTAAGCATCACTACGGAACGTCTTAAGACACTCTTACGAAAAACGTCCAAAACGCATGCTTAGGGAACGCACAAAGCACGTGTGCATGTAGGATGATGCAAAATACTATCAAAGAAGAAAAGAAACTACTGGATGCAAAGCAATTTTACAAGATTTCAATAATTCACGCGCTATTATGTCTAACAACGTACAAAACCTTTGGGAAAAATTCAAAACGGATCGAAATCTGAGTACTGGTCTTTTAAGTGACCAGTGTCCGCGCGCAAACATAGTAAGTCGCGCTGGCCAGACACGCGCAAGAAACTAGGTTGCGCTGGTATGCCACACGCAACATTTGAATTAGTAAAAGAGTTGGAGAAGCGCGATCTACAACTCACTTTCTTCTTCTCCTCTTTCTCCAATTTTGATCTCTTCCCATTTTTTGTTGTCGTTTAAAGCTAAGGAAAGTAAATTTTGCTCCTTTTATTTTACCAGACTTTGATCTTGGTCAATAAAATGGAGAAATCAAATGAAGAATCCTAACTTGGAGTTGGGATTTTCGATTCGACTTATTTTCATGAATCTGTTTGTTTGTCGTTGTTTTAAGAAATATATTGCAACAAATTTCATGCAAAATTGTAAATTATTCATCCTGTATGAGCATGTCAAGCTTATATGTGTTTTTTTTGTTCATTCGAATTTTAAATTTGTGCTTGAACTTTATTTCTCTTTTTTGCT